GTTTCAGCTTTAAAACATACAACTATCATATATCTAAACAAGCCCTGTACCCCACCTGTGGGGTCGGGCTCGGCCTGCGGCGCGTGATCGGTTTCAGATTACGGGGAGTGCTTAGCTCTTCGGTGACACAGTGATTAGACTATGGGCGCTTGATGGGGAGGTTCCAGTTTCGGTCCCTGATTTGAGCCAATTTATGAAAAAACATTTTTAAGTTGGTTCTGGTCAGGGTATTCGGGGTATTGCCCTCAGAATTATTGTTACTCTGGTACTCATAGTACAGGACTCAAGCCCTAGTTTGAGAACAGAAATTTAGAGTGATTGTCTGGCATTTTTTCCCTAAATACTTCTCTTTTTGGCTTCGCTTCCAAGAAAAAAGAATCTAACAGAGAGACGGTCGAGATACAACACCGCTTTAAGTATCTATTTCCACTACATCGGGAAGTGTACCTTACATTTTGAACAATTGTGAAATCTTGTACTCGTAACAGTATCCGTATACTACCTACTTAAGGTGGCGAGCGGACGATTCGGGCTTCACCCTCCGCTAGACCTCGGCCTACAGCCTCGGCACTTATGACTTTAAAAATATTAACTTAACTCTTTAATGGCGGCCATATTGACAAATGGCAAAAAATAAATGTTGACTGCAAATTATTATTAAACACCCATAGAAGAGAACCCCCACATCCCGATTTTCAGTACAAGTAGAGCAAATTTTTATCAACCTCCAAAGAAGTTTGTAAGGCAGCCATATTGAAAAATGACTAAATGTAAATATTAACCGCAAATTATTATTAAACAGCCATAGATATCTCCACATTTTCAGCTGAATTAGAGCCAAAAAGTTTGTATGGCAGCCATATTGAAAAATGTCGAAAAATAAATTTTCACCACAAATTATTATTGAACACCCATAGAGACCCCCATATGCCGATTTTCAGTCGAATTAGAGCAAATTTTCGTCTGCCGCCAAAAAACACTTCTATGGGAGCCATATTGAAAAATAGTGATAAACTAATGTTGATCGCAAATTATTATCAAGCAGTCCTAGAGACCCCCACATGCCAATTTTCAAAGGGATCAGAACTATTTTTTCTGTATTGCCAACAAACGCTTGTATGGCGGCCATATTTGAAAATGGCGAAAAACCAATTTCGAGCACAAATTATTATCTGGCACTTCTAGAGGCCTCCACATGCCAATTTTCAGCCGAAACAGAGCGAGTCTCTTTCGGCAGCTATTTTTAATGAAAAAAAACGCTTAAATGGCAGCCATATTAAAAAATGACGAAAAAAACTTTTGACCCCAAATTATGATTAAGGACTCTTAAAGGCATCTCCCAATTTTCAGCCACATCGAAGCAAGTTTTTCATCGGCCGCCATTTTGTATTCGCCATCTTGGTTTTTTGCACAGGCAGTACTTATACCTATCTCTAATAGTTTCAGTGATAGAAGGCTTCGGAATTTGCATGGCGTATTCATCATATTGTTTATTTGCATTTCGAACATTTTTTGCTTTCTGCAAAATTGACCAAGGTGTATCTCATAAAAGTGCACAAATATCCCCCCATGTATTATAGTTTTTGCAGGCCGTTGATCACTCGCTTACATTTTCCACATTCAGGACTTCTCATATTTGGTTCTTTGCCTTGAAGCCTATCCACGTACAACGATATAAATATCATTTTTCCACCATATCTGGAAGTATGCGTTCTATTGTTCTAAGTGAGTCAGGATTTGTAGCTTTTGTATATATAATAATGACAAAATTACGGTGTACATAACATTTAAAATAAAACAGTTAATAAAATAAAATTATGTACGCTTGAATTGATTAATATGTAATTATTATTCTAAAGGTTTTTTACAAAAAAAGATTCTCATGTCGTGTACATCTCTAGGTCCTGGATTAATGGCCTAAATTGCTTTTACAGTGGGGAGTATAAAATGTTTTTATTATTTTGCACCTTGGATAAAAATCCACTAGTCAATCAAACCATAAAAATCCACCAGGGGGGACAACTGGTAGGGACTAGTGGAATAGGCCATTTTTTTACATGGGATATTTAGATCATAGTTTCCCAAAGTGATCCCTACTTCCAGTGGGTGCTGAAGAATTCTAGGGTAGGATCCTCGGAAACAATTGGGAGCGTTGATGCTGTCCAGGGCGTGCTCCCGCATTTGAAAAAAACTTGATTTGAATTATCTTAATAAACTACACTACATATACACATAATATTTTTCTTTGTGATTTTTTGTATTAGGTACTCGTAAGTTAATATGCAAAATACGTGGTTTCAATTATTTTTTGTGGTGGTGGGCGTTGAATTTTTTTTATCTTGCCTAAGTCGGCGGTGAACCAAAAGGTTTGGGAACCTATGATTTAGATTAACTGACTCGTATAAATCATTACGTTGGACAAAATGTATGATGAGTCCATTAATGAACTTGTGCAGAAAATAAAAGTGCAAAAAATCTTCGGTCAGGCAAAGTCACCACCATATTGATTTTATTTATTTTCTATGTTGGTACGTTTGTTCATAATGGTGGTCTATGTGGACACACTGGAGCAAAAAACCAAGTGTCTGGTTAAAGCTCGTGGTATGCTCTCAACACGTTGTGAGTGCACCGTATAAAATGGAGTCCATGTTATACTTGCATATTCGAAATGGTTGTATACAAGAGCATTGTAAAATATAATGAGTTTCTTTCGAGGAATTCAAACATCTGGGCCTCCTTAGTTTTCTTTAAATAAGTGCGTCATAATAAGTCATACTTCCATCTCATTCTTATTATACTATGGAAATATGACAAACATTTATATGTAAAACTTTAGACTGAAAACTCATACACAGAACTAGTGGGAAAGAAAATTCTCTGTAGTTCTGTGAAAAAAACTGCATATTTATCAACAGAACAAAGAGGACGAAAGTATCAGTAGTACTGTCAACAGAACTAATATGGCAAATGATGGACAGTGACGACGAGATCGACAACTGAGCATGTATACCTAAATATTACCTGTTCCCTCTCGCCTGGAGAAGGCCCAAATTATAGCACTCAGGGAATCAGGCTGCAGGCAGTAAATTCCAGTCCATAGTTCGCTGCCGTTCGCCATATAATTGTGAAAACGAAACGCTGCGTGCGTATCCTTGGAATATCCACAACATAGGGGTGGAACCACGGTGGAACCCCTGCCTACGTCTAGTCCCTCTATGATGGAAATGGGGAAGGCGAAATTAATTTAATTCCATCACACACTCTCCGTGTCGCACCCTGTAGGAAACCGACAAACAGGAGATTTTACGGCAGTTGTCGAGGCTCTGCAACTTCAGGTCTGTGACATCCGGCAGTGTTTCATTATTATAAAAATAGTTTAAAAGAATTCATAGAGCTGTTACGTCCACTTACATTTATTAAATGTCATGAGTAGGATATTTCAAAGGTCACAAATGGATTTTGCAATTCCCTGAGCGTACGGACGTACCTACAGTATAAATATTATATGCGTCTTGTTTTAAAGGAATTTACAAAACGGAGAGAAAGTGGTTTTTCGAAACAAATTATTTTTATCTTGCAGGTTCGAAATGGCGCGAAAGGAATTAATGGTTCGGTGCTTGACGGAGGCCGACGATTATAAATGCCCATTATCTGAGGAGACCCAGGGCATCGCTGAGGAAGAACTGCGTGAGACTAAAAGCGCGCGGTCTCAAGCTCTCTCGGCTATACGCAACTGGATGCAGCAGAATCCAAAATTTAAGGCCGTCAGGATGGGTAAGCTTCTAAATACTTTTGAACAGTTTTAAACATAATCATCCCGTTCAGCCATAATGTTATTCGTGTTCCAATATGAAGACCCTTTGCTTAGTCCTGAGTCATCTTCACCCTTTTGATAGATCATATTGAGAATTTTACAATACCAAGTCAATATTACTTGTCAACTCAAAACTTGTCCTATTGCACGACATCCATCAGCAAAACACCAAAAACATCCTTTTAAGGTTTATTTTATGTGCAGTATATTGTAAATGTACAGCATTTAATTAGGTTTAATACCACAAATTACAATAAATGTGTACAAACAATAAAAACAATTTGCGCGAACGAAAATGCGATTTAACTCATTGAATACACACACACACGCACGCGCACGCGCACGCGCTCGCGCATGCACAAACACTCATAGCCCCGCACTAGGGACACCCTGTATCGCGGGCGCCATGGACATACATAGAAGTAGACAACCGCAAATTACACCCAAACTCACGACAGAAATAAATGTAGGCCGTACAAATATTTCTCCCCGCCCGGGAATCGAACTCGGGACTTCTGTGTGGCAGTCCAGCATGGTAACCGTTCGGCCACGAAGGCAGTTAACAACAAACAACATATACGTACATATATTGATATTGATTTGAAGTGAAACAGTTGACGACACCCGTCCATTGTTTCGAACTCGGGCTAGCCAATCGGAGCGCAGTTGTCATAGTAATGATATGGCAGAATAGTTTTCAAACAAATTAAATGACATTTCGTCTCCATTTCTGGTTATATACTCGATTGCTTAAGGAAATATTTGCTCTACAGAACTTTGCGAAACCTGACCTAACGGAACCATAAAGTCATTTGCCAACATATTACACGACGATATTATCTTTAATACAATAAATACAGAATATTTTTGGGATATTCGGAGACGTACACACAGGTCAGTTGCTGGCGCTTCTATATTTCAGTACAAACGAAAGTTGATGTTTATAAGTGATGTATCACTGATGAGTTACCAGGAATGGATGGCCTTTATATCGACTTTATACTCAATGTTTGCCAATTACAATACAAGCCTAACAATATTCTTACGTCTTGAAGTTTTCAACCACAAAGATAAATAGAAGCAGTAGAGCTCCTTGTGAAAGGGAAGTACAGCCACTTTTCCTATTAGCATTACTGCGTTCCGGTTTTGAATCATAAGAGTGCTGGTGAAATTACATATACAAGCATAATTATGTCTCAGGGTGATAGGCGCAGTGACTAGTGTCCCTCAGATCTTTGCGATTTAAAGTTCTGATTGGTACTGCAACTGCTATCGCATAGTTTCCCGAAGTAGTCCCAGTGGGCGCTGAAGAGTCCTAGGGGTAGGGGCTTCGGAAGCAATTTATGGCGTTAACGCTGTCCAGGGGGTGCTACCGCATTTGAGAAATAACCTCAATTATCTATATAGACTGCACTACATAATATATATAATTTTTTTCCTTGTAATTTGTTGCGTTAATATAAAAAATACGAGTTTTCAATTACTTTTTGTTGTGGAGGGCGTTGAGTTTTATTTTATTGCATAAATGGACGGTGAACCGAAAAGTTTGGGAACCTAGGCTGTAGGTAAGAGTGTTGCTTAACACCAGGCGCACGACTTGTCCGTCCCTTCACTTGGTATCATAAAAAAGTACTATAATACCTGAGTCTATTATTTATGCATTGATGTCGATGCCACTATTGGACTAGGGCCGTAAACTTAGACATCATTTTTTTGCATCATAAAGTAAAAACCAGGACATCACTTCTATTTCTTGTATATGAAAAAAATTTTAAAATACACAACGTCTATGCTAGCACTATGGTATATTTATTACGTTGTTTCAGATGCAAATTTTTTATTGCGTTTCCTCCGCACTAAGAAATTCAGTGTGCCTATGGCACAGGAGGCGATGGAGAGATACGTTCTGCTTAGACAGTCTTGGGGGATAGCTTTCAACCAGCTCGACTATAAATTGCCAGTCATGATGGAACTTATCGACTTGGGGTAAAGTATTTTTCACCTCACTAGCCCGGAAAGGCCTTCTTTCTCATTAGAAATCTGCGCGCAAAAACGTTTTTTGTACACTAGCGTGGAAATGGTTATTGAAATTCGAACTTGACGATGGACTATGGTGCACCTAACTTTGTCTTTCGATGAAAAAATAAAAATAATGGCACGTTCAATTAAACGATCTGTCGTACATTACTTATTTATGTTACATAAATCCGTTGGTAAATTTTATTATTATTATTGTTGGCATTAAATTAACAATGATAACTTTTCTGTTTATTAAATTATTTTAATTCGTCGAAGACCTAAAATCATTTCAATAATAACTTAATCACACAAAATAAAAGTACAAGCAAGAATAAAAATTGATTAGATGTAAATTCAGAACGCAAGCGAAGAAAAACTTTTCCTTTTCCTAAAAAATGTTTTTTAGTTCAGATGTTTTTCTTTCGTCTACCATTTCCCTCGCTATAGTGAGGTGAAAAATTATGTGTTTCGCTCGGTAGCAAAGTTGTTTTGCGTCTCATGTCGTGAAACCCTCGCTACGCTCAGGAATCTATTCCTTCGCTTGCTCAGGTTTCAATACAAGCACTCGCGGCAAACAACAACTTTGCAGCCTTGCATAACAAATATATATTTTTTCCATACGAAATAGTAGCTGTCGCCTGTTTTCTTACACCAACGCTGAAATTCTCGTGTATGTTTCTTTCTTTTTTATTGATTTTAAATGGTACCTGTCTATTAGAACGGTTACACACGGCGGCTATTATCTGCGATGCAAACGCTAATGTCTACCTTTACACACGCGCGCGATCTTAAGCAGCGATGCAAGCGCGCTACTGCATCGATACAATCGCGTGTTTGTATCGATGTAGTCGCGCGTTTGCATCGCTGCTAAAAGTTGCCGTGTGTAACCACTCTTACAGTTCTACACTACGCACGTTCGCCGTGTGTAACTACTCTTACAGTTCTGCACTATCCACGTTACTGGATAATTCTGAAATTAAGGATCTGCCTGAGCCCTTCCTACTGTAAGAAGCATAATAGATAAGAGATAACTTAAACTTATTATAAATTATTCGTAATGTTTCAGGTACATTTTTGTGAGTCCATTCAAAGATAAGGGCGGCCGGCGAGTAATCATTTACAGGCCTGGTAGATACAATATCAATATTTTTTTAAACACCAGCTATCATTTACTTATATTTTATAATATTACACTATAAATATGCACATATGTGGTATTTTGTAAATAAGTAATTAGTATATACAGTGTGATTGATTATATACATACTATATTTAGCGTGCTGTTAGTTTCATATATCTGTACATAGGTATGCCGTTACAACTATATCAGCGCGTTGAGCTTTGCACTTACGACTTATGGACGCCGTCTTAGGTACCTACATTGACCTACAAAAAATTATCACAAACGGTATAATATAATAACAGGTTTATTTAGTAAAATACTAACAACCTCCCAGGTCTATAATACTGGCATCATGAACAACAACTTTTGTTCCAAAGATTTTTAATAATTCATCAGATTTAGTAGATTGTAATAATAATGCGCGGTGACAAAAGTAAGAACTAGCGTAAATACCAGTCCGATGCAAAGTGTAGGAGCGGGGGTGGGAGTCGTAAGGATGACGCTTGCACGTGTGAACTTACTACCAAATAATTGCAACTTTTTCATTGAAAAAAAAAACTTATCAGCTTTTTCCGATTTCCATGGGATTCCCTCATCAGATTCTGACTTCTTGTTGATAATGGGACTGTTACGGACTCCTTTTTTATTTTATAATATTTTTCTGGTTGTCATGGTGAAAGTGATTTGTTCATTACATGTATTGTGTCAAGTGAAAAGTCGACTTTTATTTGAGGAATATATCTTTTTCATTTGTGGTAGCCGAAACGAACCTGGAACAACATCGTCGGCATTAGGGACCAGCTCGAGAGTATACCCTTTCAAATAAAAAAAAAGAATCTTCAAATCGCTCAACAATTGACGGAGAAATCGGAAAACATACATACAGCCGAAAATATCGACTGTGAAATGGCAACCGGTACTATCTCAATTTTGACAACTTTGAAGATAAGGAAAATATCATTTATATAACAACTGGTTTATTAAATAAAAATACGTAATATACATACATATATGTGTAACAAAAATATTTAAAAACTACATATTTTTATTTAATAATCCAGATGCTATATAAATGATGCAAACATTTTTTTTTTCGTTGTCAACATTGAGATAGTACCGATAGTTCACAGTCGATATGTCAGATAGTACCTACAACAATAACTTATTTGGTAAAGTTATTGTTATTACTTATATGTTTTTTGAAGTCTTGGGACAAAAGTAGGTAGTTGTTTATCATGTTAGTAACATAGTACTGTGAGGTTGCTTGTATTTTACAAATGACCCTGTGGGTACCTGTACATTGTAATATCAATTGAATTGCCTTCGTCGTTCATATCTTACTTAGCGTCATTACAAATTTAAAACCTCGTTTTGGTCAATAAGTATTTACAAGAAGTTTTGTAAATATTTGAAAAGCATATTCAAAGATACAGAAACATTTCTTCCATAAATTTTAATCTCTTTGTTTATCCAAATAACAAAATAGAACAAAATTACTCTTAAAAATACTAGGAAAATTTTACAGAACAAAACATTTTTAGTTTTTCTATAATAGTTATGTTTAACATATAGGAGATATTAAATTTGCAACGAGGTTAGGTATATTTGGCAGGTATTAAAATAACTTGGTATTTTTTATCAGCTTTTTTCATAATTTATATATAGTAAAAGCTATTTATGAGAAAACAATCTTAAGTCCTAATCTATGATTGACCGTGGGACCTGTAAAAGGCCCGAAACATTTGCATGTATGACAAAACAAATATATATTTAGATCCAAAAAAAAAATAGTTATTTCATTAAAATCGCGAAAGCTTAAGAACTCAATAGTTATTTATTTAGTTATACTTACATATATATTTGTATTATTTATTTACTAATTATTATACAGGTTGTAATTGTTAAGTGTGTCCAGGCGATTATTCCGTAAATATAAAAGATATCAAAAATCTTTAATCTAATATCGAATATTAAACTAAATTAATATCGAAAGTACGTTACCTAATGAGTAAAACGACATCAATAACTTTTTCAAAATAAAACTAGTACCTAATTGAATATACGTATAATAATTAAATCATAATAAATATAATAAATCCTCCATCGCTGCTTTATATACATATTAATATAATAAATCCTATATGCATAGTAGTCGTTTTACTCATAAGGTGACGTACTTTCGATATCAGTTTAAAGGATTTTGATATCTCTTATATTTACGGAATACTCACCTGGGCACCCTTAACGATTAGACCATGTATATACAATTCACATTCACAGTCCGCTATGGACGACGCACATAAGAGGCTTTTATCAAAGTCAAGCGCTACAGTTTCTTTTCTTTTGCTTTATTTTATTGCTTGAACTAAAAATACTTGGCACAAATACACTTATGGTAGTGGTGGGACTTAAATTGAAAATCGACTTCCCGTATATCGAAGGGTCTAAGGCATAAACCCAAATTTTCTATAAACTGAGTTAACTAACCATAGTCAATGTAACTAACTTTTTATAATATACTTTCTTACCTTTTAATAAAAATAGTTAACTATAATATAAATTTAAAATATTACATTGGTTTGCGCAATATTATTAAAATGTCAAGGATTAAAGGCAAATTAAAACATCAAAGATAAAAGAATAATATTTAATAAACTAGTCACATCGCTAGTAACCAAATTTATCGTTATCACTCTCAGTGTACAAGAAACTCTTGTACCTACACTGTAATAATGTTTGGTAGGTACTCAGCCACGTACTAGTATTAGAGCATTTTTAAATTTTACCTAAGTACTCAACTTTTTTAAATTTATGCGAATATAAAAATATGTGATTTTAACACATTTAGTTCCAATTGCGATATGTTATTTATTCAAAGCGTTTCACGAAAATTCACGCACGAGCTGGATTTTACCGCGGATCCCTCGATATGTTGTATAAAGGCGCTTTTCCACGGCCCGTGGCTCGTTTCGCACAAACGCGTGGCGGCCTGTTCGGATCCGTGACTGGTCGGTAACTTATGCTGTCGGTATGCTCTCGATACAAACCCGAATACGTGTCGCAACAGGCGTCGGGCCGAGGCCACCCGGACTCGTCCGTTTCGTGAGCTCACTCGTACAAATCAGCGCGTTTGACATCACGGGCCATGGGAACGCACCCTTAGAAACCAAACTCTAAAATTATATGAGAATTTTCAAAATATTAATTTTACATGACATCGTTGTTGTCTCGATTATTTACCAAGTAAATATACCTAGATTATGAAAACCTGATGCTGTGAGGAGACAACTTCTTAGACCGACCTAACCTACACATATATAATGTAGGTATAAGTGTGCTATTTTTCCGTACAGCTCATTTTCATCAGTCGGCTTCTAATAACAGCACATAACTTTAAAAAAAATTAAATCTTAAGCAAACTTGTAATTAGGCTGTGTAACGTTTACAGGCGTTTTTGATCCCTACAAGTATACAAATCAAGACATGTGCCGTGTTATGGGAATCTGCTACGAGACCCTAATGGAGGACGAGGAGTCGCAGGTCCGTGGCCTTGTCCACTTTGCTGACGGGTCGGGAGTCAGTTTTCCTCATCTCACGCTGTTCACACCTAAAGAGGCCGTCCGCATTGTTAAAAATGGCGAGGTAACTTTAACGCCACATATTGCTTTAGGCAAACAGATACATGTATGTACAGTGTAGGAAGACCCTAATAAGCGTCATTTACTTTATTTACGTACCATTCATAACATCATATGTTGCAAGACGTACCTATTCCTTCTAAATAATGCAGTCGTAGGTGTAATGTGTTATTACACATCTGCAAAATGACATCTTTTAGGAGAGATTCTTTGAACGAAAATTAGTCGCTAACTTTTACTTCTATAATGCTCTAACGGAAGAGTTAAGAAATTAAATAAAATATACATAATTTGTTTCATTTACTTGGTCTTATGGCGTTTATGTGATAAAAGCTTTTTTGACCTATGATCACATGTGGCTTTATTAAACTAAGTGTATGGAAGTTGGCGTGACTGATGACTGACAAAGTCAAAGTCAAAGATTATTTATTCCATAGGTAAAATAAATTTACACTTGAAATCGTCACATTTAAGCTACTGCTCGTTCACTACGCTGACCTCCCTGAGAAGAACGAGCAAGAAACTCTAGGGATTGCTCTTTTCAAATAAACTTAAATGCTATGGAATACACTTTGAATAAAAAAAAATTGTGTGGATTCTGGAGCCATGTCGTCTTTCCATACATCTTTATCTAACACGAAGTCTTCAATTTTGTAATATGATTTTTCGATCAAAATATTTTTAATGTAGTTTTTAAACTTAGGAAATGATAAACTTAATATATGCTCCGGAATCTTATTGTAAAAACGTATACAGTTCCCCATAAAAGAGTTGTTTAAGTACCTTGGTTAAACGAAATCGTGGTACCATGAGTTTAGACTTAGCTCTAAGGTTAATATTATGGATATCTTCTTTCTTATTGAAATTATGTATATTTTACGAGCATATAAAATATTTGAGTATATGTACTGTGATGCCACAGTCATGATACCAGTCTCCTTAAACTTTTCTCTGAGAGAAACCCGAGAGCCTAGACGGTACACAGAACGAATCGCTCATTTTTGCAATACAAATATGGTTTGAATATCTGCCGCTTTACCCCACATGAGAATCCCGTAGGACATTATACTATGGAAGTAAACTAGTCTAGCAGTACTAACATCGGTACGCTCACGTATTCTGCGGACTGCGTATGCAGCGGAGCTTAACCTGCTGGCCAGGGAAGATATATGTGGAAACCATTGAAATTTACTATCTAAGGTCACTCCCAAGAAGACTGCTTTATTAACAAAGTCTAACTTTTCTCCATTTATTTCTATGCTTGGACTAGTCGATTTTACGTTAGGTAATTCAAATTTAACAAATTTTGTCTTCTTGGCATTAAGCAATAAATTATTAGCATTAAACCAATAAATTACCTTAGAGAGGGTATCATTAATATGGTCATAGTTAATGTCATGTCTGTCTGTTTTAAAAATCAAGGATGTGTCATCAGCAAACAACACTATTTCGCAATGGTCCTTAACAAAGAATGGCAGATCATTAATATAAATCAGAAGTAAGAAAGGCCCAAGTATTGAGCCCTGTGGAATGCCCATTTTTACCGGAGAACCCAAAGAAGTCACACCATTTATGTCTACTTTCTGAATTCTACCGTTGAGATATGACGAGACAAGTTTCGACGCCTTGCCATTAACATCGTAATGTTCCAGCTTCCTAATAAGAGTAATATGATCAACGCAATTAAATGCCTTTGAGAGGTCACAGAAAATACCAATAGCGTTCTGGGACCTTTCCCAGGCATCATAGATATGTTTTAGTAACGCTACCCCCGCATCGCTAGTCGATCTACCACTAGTAAACCCGTATTGTTCACTATGAAAAATATGATTCCTACCGAAATAGGACAGTAATTGAGTCAGCATAACCTTTTCGAATATTTTACTTAAAGCTGGCAAAATTGAAATGGGCCTATAGTTGCTAGGATCAACTTTCCTACCGCTTTTGAATAAGGGAATAACCTTGCTGTATTTCATTAAATCGGGAAAAACACCTTCGTCAATGCACCTATTGAAAGCTACAGCTAAATGTGGGGAAATAAGATCAATAACTGAGTCTATAACTTTAGTTGATATGCCCCAGAGATCTTCAGTTTTTTTAACATGTATTGATTTAAAAGCTTTTATGATATCTTGTGGATTAACATGACGGAAATTAAATAAACTACCACAAACGTTAACATTTTCCTTTAGGAGATCAATAGCAAGTGAAGGGGAGGAATTTCATGATTCTGTAGTGTTCACAACAATTTCCGAAAAGAACGATTCAAAAGCTTGGGCTACTTTATCTTTTATAAGTTTACTGTCTAGTTCTAAAACTATATCTCTATCGTGTTGTTTAACCCTGCCTGACTCTTTGTTTATTATGCTCCAAGTAGTTTTAGATTTATTTATCGATTGTCTAATTTTGTCGCTGTGAAACTTAACCTTAGCAGCTACACATATTTTTTTAAATATTTTTGAATAAATTCTAACATATTCTATAAAACTGGAATTAGTATTATAAGTTTTCATAGCACATAGCTCATACAAACGAGACCTACTCTTATGAATACCTACTGTTTCCCAGTCGTTGAATTTAGTCTCTCTATGGAAAGTTAATGTTTTCGATTTAAATATATTATCAAATTCATTTTTAATTAAACCAAATATCGTGCTATATAAAGTATTTGGAACCTCCGGTATATGGGGTAGGGAATTTAAACTATTGCCGATATTATTTTGAAATCTAGGTAATGATTCGTTCTGTGGTAATCGGTCTGCAAAGAAATTGGTCTACCTTCTTGCTCATTTTACAATTAAAAGAAGCCAATTGGCCACTATGGTCTGATCTTAAGCAATTTATTATTGATTTAGACACTGTGTCTGTGTTACAAAAGATGTTATCAATACAAGTAGAAGAGGAGGCAGTGATGCGAGTTGGTTCTAAGAAAAGATTAATCAAGTTAAAACTTTTAAATAAATTAATGAGTCTTACAGAAGTAGAACAGTTTTCCAACAGGTTTACATTGAAATCTCCACATATTACTACGTTTTTTTTGGTTGGAAAAATCCGCTTTAAACTGTCTTCCATAATTAATTCAAACTCGTTAAAATTAGCAGATGGGGGCCTGTATACACATAAGACGACAAACTGATCCAATTCCACACATGAAATCTCAATAGTTCGTTCAGTAGAAAGATCTGTGATATCCTTACAATATAGTACATATATAAATATGACGGTGCTTAACTTGGTAGAATATTTTATTAATCTTTATTTATGAAGGGGCTTTGATCGTTATTGAACATGTCAGCTCCGTTAGAAAAACGGTACATAAACACTTAATAAAATCCAGACAGATAAATCAATATACTACCTAACTAAACATGTATAGTTAAGGAACTTACGTACCTTATTGTATGTATAATTTGTTTCTAGCGAACCATTCCCATGAGACATAAAGAAATCTACGGAGTAAATGTCCACCCCACTATAAAATTCGCGTTAGACTTTGGTATGGCACTGATTTCGGAGAAAATTAGGAAACGAGTGCGTCTTTACACCTCTCCGACCGAAGTAGAAATCGACAAATCATTACTCCCACAAGAGTATGGTGGTGTAATGCCAATGAGGGAGATGATTGGTAAGTGCAATCCTCTAATGAAAATTTTTAATTTACGTTTTAATCTTCTGAATCACATAAGGCTGACAAATTAGTAGCAGTTAGCTCCTTGTGACTGAGTTCGTCCAAGGAAGTACTGCCACCTTACCTATTTCTGCCGCCAAGCAGTAAGCATTACTGCGTTCCAGTTTAAAGGGTGCTGGTGAAATTACAGGCACATGGGACTTGTCAACTTATGTCTCAGGGTGACGGGCGCAGTGCCGCCAAGATCTTTGCGATTTAAAGCTCCGAGTGGCACTGCAACTGCTATGGACAGGCGTGTAACTTACTATCAGGCGCCCAACTTGTCCGTCCCGTCACTTGATATTATAAAAAAATGTTACTAATCATTTCATCAGTGAAAAAAAACCAGTTGATTAAACAACATAAGTTGTTATGTTAATATTCGTCAATTTGTTTATCTGGCTATGTTATATTTCAGAATTATGGAAAGAAGAGCTAGCGATGAAGCGCGACATTTTGTTATTGGGCGACAAAATGGCGGTCCGATTGGAAATGTACAGTGAAGCCGCGCGAGAAGGCGCCATTTCAGTTCTACGCGCTGGTGCCAATACGTGCGCGGGCACCGACGCCGTCGGCGACGCCATGCGTGGACTGACGGGCAATTTCAGAAAACTCGAAGTTGATTGACTAAAAACTCGAAAATGCAAGCGTGTAAATTAGACTAAACACCATGTTAAGTAATCTTCCATTTTAAATTTAGACTGAAAAGTAGTATTAGGTAAACGCGTTAAAAACGTCGACTAAGTATTATAGTATATTTAATTTCTGTATTATACTTTCGGTGATTGTTCTTACTCATAATCATTTACCACGTGTAATGTTATTCTAATTCTGTAGTATTTAAGTTGGTGTAATTAACGATTGCGCATTTTTTGCGGTGGTAATAAAAACGGAATTAATTTCATTCAGGGTTATATTTTATATATCCAAATAAAAAACGTTGGTATTATTTATATATTTTATTAAAAAATCCATTAACTACCAAATCGGTACAAATTAATAGACAATTCTCAACTTAATTTAATATAAAACCACAATATTACTTTTAAAATGGCACATAGGAAGTTGGCGTTATTTTTAGTTTCGCTTAAAAATTGCATTAATCAATTCAGGTTACTAACATTATAAGATTTTTCTATTCTTACAGAGTAACATAACATATTATTTTTAATTTAGTACGGTTACCCTAAATATTGCAAAATTATTTGATATCCGTTGTTTATGAAACTGTTATCAAAATTTAGCCAGAGAAGTATAGCGCTGGATTGAAGTATTACTGTTTTCTAAAAACCAGCAATGGAAATTCTATAACATAGGTAACACTATTGTAGGCACATTTTCATATCTCTATTTAATCTCTATTGCTCACTCATTCGTTTTCTTATGGAGCATTTACACCGGGTGGACAGGTAGTCTTCGCGTGCCCGCCGAAGACGGCAACCTATTCAATGTAAACACTAAGAGCGGTTACACACGGCGATTTTTAGCAGCGATACAGTCGCTATTCGTCTACCTTTACACACGCGCGCGACTTTAAGCAGCGATGCAAACAAGATACAAACGTGATGCAAACGATACAAACACGATGCAAACGTGATGCTAGTTTTAATTAATTAACTAATTTATTTATTTAATGTATTTATTAATTTCACTTTTAAATTTACAATGAATAAAACAAAATAATGTGCATAAGCCTATACAGATTTTTCGTTGTTCAACAAAAGCGACTGTATCGATCGATGCAGTCGCGCGTTTGCATCGATAGCAACTGCAATGCAAACGCGCGTTCCACTGTTTGCATCACTGCTAAAAGCCGCCGTATTTAACCACTAAGCAAGTCATTTGACGACTCTAATTCGCTACCGACCTAACCACTTACAGGCAACTCGGTCGCCTTAGGCAAGCGACTGTTAACCAAGCTCCAACGAGTCGGCCGCATCCCACCACGATGCGCGTGATAGGCGCCAGAGAATACCTACACGATCCTTTATTCTCATAAGGACAGATATCAGTTTGTTGAACGTTTTGATCGATTTATCGTACGAAAATTAGTGGTGCGTGATAAGTGCCAGAGAATACCTACACGATAAGTTTGTTGAACGTTTTGATCGATTTATCGTACGAAAATTAGTATTTATGTTGACTTGGTTATATCGACGAATGTGACAGTCGACTCCGTGTAAACAGCACTTCGACTGCGCCGCCTTTGTTTATCGAAAAGGCAGCAGTCGACTCGTTGTAAATAGCGAGTCGAATCCCACCTTCGTCGGAATAACCAAATCAATATGAAGTAGTCTGCCGAAGACGGGAGTCGACCCAGTGTAAACACGCCATTAGCATCTATATGTATGTAATTGTACTTAAGATGCACCGTATGCAACTACCGGATATTCTACAAAACTAAAACATTATATAGCCAGCTCTTTGTGTTATAAATTTAGCTATACTGATTTAGCATTAACCTAACAATTATATACTATTCAAAATAAAATAGGACACTTTGATTTTACATCTATTATTTCAATACGCACTAATGTACTTGACAAACCTTTTAAACGTGTTATATCTATCCAGATGATATTCTATTATTTTAATTCGAACAAGACAAATGGCACCAGTTTCTTATGTCATAACACGCTTTACCGTCCAAGTTACATTTTGACATTTAATCGAAGTGGACCCTATTTATTTTTGTAAACCTGCAGTGTTAAAAAAGATGTTAAAAGAGTATATAAGAAATTTTATTAAATGGTACGGAGTAAATACTCTCAGAGACCTTGCTTAAAAAAACTTACAACTATCCATAAAAGTACTCGAATCTGTTGATTGTCTTTTCAATGAATAGAAAACAAATTGTCTAGAACTGGTTGTAGGTTTCTTAGGGAATAGTTTTTCAGAATCATTGGTAGAGTCACCCCATGAAATATTAAGTGTCCATTTTTAACATCTTTTATAAATACTATCAATCCGCTTTAAAACAAGGAAAACTTGGTATAAACAATATATCATCGGTCTAAACTGGACACTAGAATGTTCAGTCAACAGCACGTTTTACACCTTTCAAGGTGCTAAACGTGCTGTTGACTCCATGTTCTAATAAGCTGCATAGATTTAAATTTTAATCTTTTATGTAAAGATCGACGTGCCGTTGTCCGCATATGGCTGTAAAATAATTCTAGCGTGGTGTTTTGGTGGAAGATTATGTTCTTTGTAAGAAATTGTGCAGTCTTAGCAGATGAAATAATTGTCTAAATATCTAAAGGCGCATTTACATCAGAGCAATATTTTACAGAATTTCTGACCTGTTTACAGTAGCAGCAACTGGTCACCATAGTAATGTGAACAGATTAATAACATTTAACATAAAAATAAATAGTATTTTTTACACATACTTATGGGTACATCGTCGAACTTGGCATCACCAAGTCGGTGGAGACGCGTCCAGATCCGCCTCAACAATACTTTGAAAATGGCACACGAATGCAAAATTTGCCTGACGTAGTGGTCATATTCTCTACATTGTGCACTCACACATTCGGTCGTCGTAATTGCTCATTTTAAAGTTAATTATGAATAACTTTGTTCAACGTACAAAGAATTTAATTTCTTACTTGTATATAGTACTCATGAGCCAAAGTTGTTGTTGTTACCCAAATGTTTAGCTTGCTCCGATATAAAGGTGTCTTAACCATTGACACCTAAGTTATACTCGAAGCGCGTGCTTGGAGTATAACTTAGAACTATTTCCCATATCAAATTAGCAATATACGGGGTTATTTGTAAAAGACAAACAATCTCGCAGGTATAATCTCTGTATTACTAACATCATAAACAGTAACTTTTGCTCCGTGACTTTTAATAATTCACCAGATTTTACTTTCATACAAAAATAAATATATTCAAATAGATCGCTCTAAACGGTTATAAATCTGTGCAAAACGCAGAAGCGAGTGTGGGGGACATCGATTGCACGTCTGAATTTATTACGTTAGTACCAAATACACATCTAAGAAGTGTCAGATAGTACGACAATAATATTATCGTTAATAAAAATATTACGTTTCTAAAAAGTCACGGAATAAAAATTGTTGTCAAGATATTAGTGCTAAGGTCCTGAGAGGTTGTTAGTTTTTTAATAATAACCCTGTATACAACTTGCAGACGTGTGCAATTACTCTATAATACTTCAACAATAACTGTGACGTTAAGTACATAAAAATTAAACTTACGCTATTTGTCGGCATTCTTTGCCAAATTGAAATGATCAATCTGCCACTCCCATAACAAATGATCAGTAAAGTAGTCAACTAGAAAGTATATATTTATTTTATCAACTTGAGTTAAAGCTGTCTAGAACATTTATACAGACGTCATGCGAATACATTGCAAAAAATTTAATTCCATTTTACCAGTACACACAAGTTTATACAAAACTTGTGAGGCCCCACACACAGTGCGCCTCAACACGGTGAGACTAAATTTTTATACATAGTTATCAATATTATAAAGAAGGATGTGTGGAACTCGTAACTATACTTCTTTTCATTTTTATGCCCTCACTGTTTAAAAAAACAGAAAGGAGACTTATTTAAGCATTCTCATTCCTAAAATAAAAAGTTGGCGTTCAGGTACTCCAAGTATCAACACAAACGAACGTATGTATTTGTATTTTGTTCGTGATTGTACGTAGAAATAGAAAATCTAAAACATTTTTTGCAATACATACGTACGTAAAGTTACAGTTCCTTAAATGTCTGATTAAATGTGGTATAAACTAACTGGCAATTATGTTAACAGATTAACTATAATGAATAATATGGGTAAAATATATAATTAAATTCATATAACCTTATAAAAACTAGTTAAGAATAACAAGCTTTGGCACTATCATTGGCTTTGTTTTGCACCATAGAGAAATTCCGAAACAAGTTACAAATAGGCGAATAGATAAAATACATGAATCGCTGCAAGGTGTGTTGGTAGCCCTACCATTATTTATAACGCTCATTAAATGGAACATATTACTGTGTAGATGCCAGTGTTGAAGTCCATCAATACAGAGGTTGTCTCGTCTGTAATGATGAAGTCAATAACTATAGTATAGCAGAATGATATTAATGCGTTAAATAACCTAACCTCATGTCCTAACGAGACAACTAGAATATCTTCTGTTTATTAAAAAGAAAATGTACTGTGTAACATACGAAGAATGCGATGTTAAATAATCGCATCGCGTCACAAAATTCATAGCAGTTAGGACATCGCACACACCTAAGATTTTGAACTATTAAATATAATCGAGTCGCTAAAACAGAGCTCTTGTTTCATTCTTATACCAATAAATCGTCCGCTAAGGAATATCACATATTGGTCTTATAAATAGAAGAAACAAGTAGCTGTTCCAGCAACTTTCAAAGTATACTAATACTATGCAAGTTATGTCACACATCGTAATTAGAATTATTTAGAGTGTAATCTCACAATTTTCGTGTTCGTTCGACACGAGGTAATTACTGAGGAGAAATGGAGTAGGAACTAGGTCGACACGCCGCTGGTGATGACATCGTTTCAGAGTCACGCTCTTGCTTTCACGCGCAGTTAGGGTTACTGGACAAATAACAAGAAAGTAATTTGCAATCACAAGTTTCTAGTATGACAGATAGCTTTCGACAACTTTCAATACGGCAAGACAGGCATATGGTTAAAAGTCCCACGCAAGCGAACTGCTTATTCTCTACGAACCTGGCTAACGCCCGTTCATGCCATTCGTGTTCGTTCAAAGACGGCTCTTGTTAAGTTATCAAAGGTTAGGCAAAGCAGTGTGCGTCTGTATCTTTAGTCACTGTTGAAACGGTAAGAAATTAAATACATAATAACTTGTCATCTGACAATGTATAGAAATACAAGTGTAAACAGTATTACCGCGCTTAAGCACCCTCGGCAATGTTGCAGAGTCCGCGGGTCAGACCCAGTACTGGTTGCGGCGCAGCATTGGGTTTGGCGCGACACTGCCCGCTCGGATGGGATACGCCGACTCGCTCGCCTCGTAGCTACTCCAGTCCTCCGCCTGCCAACATTATTATGGAATTTAGGATGGTTTCTTTCGGAAAACAAATATTGCAAGAGTCTTTGTTTCAAGTTTGTTAACCATAGTAAAAGCTACTTGTTCATAGAACAGCCAAAAGAAAATCACAATAAGAAAATTGCTTATTTACGAGCCCAATATGTTAGGTAACTCTGCAGTTGAAGAGCACAGATACTCACGTCAGTATGGTCCTCAGTGCCATAAGGATACCTCGTATTGAGGTCCGGCAACGCGGCGTCGGAAAGCGGCGTCACTTTGCACGCTACACTGCCGCCCGACGGCAGCGGCGTACTTGCACTAGTGTGGACCGACTGCTCCGACGACACGTAACTATGGAAAAATGTATTTACGTTATTATGAATTCAAAACTTGTTCACTTTATTTATCAACTCATATATAGTCCATAAGCCAATCTTAAGAGTAGGCAGTTAATACGGCCTATTTAACCACTCAGGTAAACTAAGCTATCACTTGTTTAAATATATAATATAAATTATTCTTTAATGCAGTTATTACATACCGCTTAATGGGAGGCGTGCCCTGCGCTGGCGATGGCATAAGATGGTCTGGCGGTCGCGGCAGGGGTATCGGAGCGACTCCCTGCGTCTGCCCGTGTATTTTAGCCAGCGCGTTTTGATCTCGCAACAAGTACCGCCGGCATTTCAAAAGCCCAAATATCACCACGATGGCTAGGATAGTCCCGGACAAAGCCATTAGAATCATCATGTAGTATGATGCTGTTTCGCCATTTGCCACCTAAAAAAATTAGATTTTTCAAAAAGATGCCGCATACGCTAAAGGTTCAGGGTTTAATAAGGCAGGCAGTCGCGATAAAAGTCAGTACAATAAAAATTTAACTTACAGGTACCCCCTCGTGACTTTCGGGATCATTGGGCCCCGGCAGATCCTTCTTCAGCCGGGTTCCTAAATAGATCTTTACTTCTCCCGCAGCAGGTTGAAACATAGTCGAAGACAGTAAAAATTTGAAACTATCTTCGACACCATTCAATTCAGAGATTTTTTTCTTCGTAACATAGTAAATAACTCCAGCTTTTATATCCTCGTGTGTGAAGTATGTTATTTCTCGCTCTCTTGCACTAGTTTTTCCACCAGAACTTCTGATGATTTTCTTTATAATACCGTGTCTTGGTTTACGTATTATATTAAAAAGAGGATCACTGGCCGTTAACGTTGCTAGGCTAGACGCGTCCATAACGTTTAAGGTTATCTTTACTTTGCCACTTTCAACTCCTAAATCATTTAAGGACATCAATGGTTGAACAATTACATCTAAATTAAATGGTTGGGTAGAGTTACTATTATGAACGTAGGCTATGAGTTCGAAGCTATCGTTAGCTGTTGACATATCGTTTTGCATATACCTTACAAGTCTGTCTAGCAAATCTTTGTGAGAGAAATTACTAACGGATTGTCTTCCGACATATATTACACCATATTGGGGTTGTCGCGTTATATTATACCAGACATTGGATTTCTTGGCATTGGTTTCTACATATATCTGTTCTGTGGTAAGAGTAGCAATGTTATGGCCTTGCTGCAAGTACAATGGCCGTAAAGATGTAGCATTCAATGCAACAGGTATAACGTCTATAGAGAATACAGTGTAAGTAGGTTTGAACTGTCCATCCCACACTCTGAAATAAAAAGAAGCTGTTTGCAACATTCCAGAGTGCTCGTATATAATTTTGCCATTGTTAATGTCTTCTTGTGTGAATTTGCTAATGGACTGTGCTTCGTCAATTGATTGATTTTTATCCAGCATTATTATTCTACCCTGTGTGGGGCCACTGATTATATCATATTGAATCCCCGAAGGTTTAGTATCGGCGTCCTCTGTGAGCAAATCGTTACGAGTCAAAGTGTAGTTTTCTCCTTGTACCACTTGTATCATGGGTGTCTCAGTTAATAGTCTGAACGGTTGATCATTGACCGCTATAATATTAATAGGTATGGTAACATTACAAAGCACTACGTAATCTGGTAAAAGATAAAGTGCCATGTCAATTTTGTCTTGTACAGTGTCTGAACCATCGTGTTCGTAGTTCACTACTCCACCTTCGAGTTGCGCTTGAGTCAATGACGTCATGTAAGGTTTGAGTTCGCCATGCATTGGCTGAGACCACTGGGCTTCAATCAGAGGTTGTCTTAACCCTGCTTGTGTTTCCAAATATGCAATAACATTTGTCACGTTCACTTTAATTGGAATTTTATTACCTTCTTCAACTTTTATTTGAGGAATATGAATGAATTTAGCAAGACCACCAGAAGACACAGAAATATCAATGTTAAATATTTGATCATTTATAGGTTTAGCTAACGCCGCTTCAATAGTGAAGATAAAGGAATCATTTGTGTACAGATCCGAGAACGGGTGAGTGTGCTCGTAGTACACAAGAGAATTGTTTACATCTTGTTGAGTAAACTGTTTCACAGTACGATGGTGTGTATCTCCTGCCATCATAATCAATCTCCCTAGAGTAGGAGCTCGATCAACTTTATAGACAATCGTTCTAGTGTGATCGGAACACTTAGACATTAAAAGGTAATTATTTAACGGTTCTCTCATCAGTGGAAACACGCGGAGATTTTGCTTTCGAATGAGTTTTAGCGACACCGATTTTGTAGATATGAGGAATGTAATTTTAGACAGCTCGTGTAAGCCGTCTGTTACGTTGAAAATCATTTTTCCTTTAGTGCCATCTGAAATGAATAAAACCATATATGTATATCACACACTATGATCAGTGTGTGAAATTTTAACATGATAGCAAATGCCACATTTGTCAGTTATTTTTGGAATTAAATTTGTAGGCGATGCTGAAGTTGCTTCTAAAAATAACACTTACTCATGTGTACAAAAATGACTTTGCCATTGTCAATATCCGCTTGTGAAAAGTGATTTACAGGGGTCTCAAGGTCGCCCTTCATAGCTATGTATCCAGACACGATGTCCACCACTTGAATTGTCACGTTTTCTAGAGGAGTGTCAATGTCGTTCACATCTGTTATCAGAAATAAAAGGAATCAGCAAGGCAGAATGTTTGCGATAACTAAACAAATATAATGTAATGGATTGGCCAAAACGTCTGTGCGCTTTGCCACTAGCTAACTTTAAACAAAAAAATGTACATTATATTGTGTATAATTATTTTAAAAATAATATTATTTCAACAATAGGCGAGAAAGTTTTAATTTTGTAATTCATTAAAAACGTACAGAACTGCTGAATCTGGTGTCGTATTTCATCACGACAACGCCAAAGCACAGACATCTTTAAAAATTCGTTAAAAACTATTGAATATTCCGTTGGGATATGTTATCTCACCCACTGTTTCTAAAGACAAGAATTTTTATGAAAGGGGAATTCTAAAATTATCCGAAAGATAAGAAAAGATTGTGGATCAACATGGCCTACGTATTTTTATTTATACTTTGATACCGCACGGACTTTTTAGCAAACCCAAGACAATCACTTTAAAAATTCATTTTTACTGTCAACATACGCCAAAAACATATCGACTGTGAACTCGCAATCGGTACTATCTCAATTTTGACAATTTTACAGGATGAAGAGAAGAATTGTTTGCGTATTTATATAGCATCTGATTTTATAATAAAAATACGTAGTTTTTAAATATTTTTATCACACATGCATTACGCATTTTTATTTAATAAACCAGATGCTATACAAATGACACAAAAAAATGTTAGTCTTCATAATGTAAAGTTGTCAAAATTGAGACAGTACCGGTTGCCAGTTCACAGACGATATAGCAAAGGCGTAGTCCTGGACATGATGTCCAGTTGAACTGTTAACTCCTAGTCACACTACTAAGGATGAAACAATTGACTTACAAAGTTCGTTCCTGGTAAAGGTGAACGTGCCGCCCTCCCACACGCAGAGACCGGTATTCGCAGCGACTATCGGTGTCTCATCGTTTACAGGCACGATATTGATTCGAACTTGGAACGGTTCGCTCTCCTTGCTGCTTTCCGTTATAGCAATTACTTTGAAAAAGTCTGATGATTCTTCCGAGCCGTCGTTAACGTACTGAAAACAGTATTATTAAGAAAATTAATTAATTAAATGCAGTTTCTATTGATCTTTTAAAAGCGCAAGAATATATCGTCCACAAAACTCAATCACTGTGGAAGCAACGGAGACTGAAGGATCCTCGAACACGGTAGAGACATATAAAGGCTGTAGTAAAACGCTTAATCTGTGTGATGTTTTTAATAAATGCCAAACAAACCAAGCCAATAGCATGTCTCAAACTCCCTGTACTAGAACAACGGAATTCTGGGGCACTTCTCGGAATACCCAGACCAGAAGAAATTTGACGTAGAATGTATAGTGACATATCTTTAACAGATAATTAAAATCCAAATTACAAGGGAAACTATACGCCATATGCGTTTGTATCGATGCAATCGCGCGTTTGTATCGATGCAGTCGCGCGTTTGCAACCGCGCTTTTGCACCGCTGCTAAAAGTCGCCGCGTGTAACCACTCTTAGTCCTTAACAGAGACTGCCAAAATCGTCTTATTTGAAATGAGAGATTCGAAAATAATAATAAACTACTATGTGCGTACCTGTATATTTCCAGAATTTAACTTCAAAACAGGCAATACGTTGAGTTCTTGATCAGCCATGACAATCTTACCGAACTTAGGCTTCTCAACGACTTTGTACATGACGACTTTGCCTCTGTAGTACTCTGTGACAGTACGGAATAAATCTGGTTTTATACTAATCGGTTCTCCCTCAACGACAGTAAGGTTCGATGCAACGACATAAAAATGTTCTGGGATAATGATTATGGTTAATTCAACATCTCTGAGCCACACTATTCCGTTGGTAACGTCCATTTTAATCCTGTCCCTGGTGCGATTTACGCCTGATTGTACGTAGACTAGGCGGTTGACATTAATTATTGACTGGTCGAAAACTTTGGTCTGCACCGGCTCGTCGTAATTTTCGATATCTATAGTGCCTGGCGTAGAAGTGATTTCTAACCATCCATGGTAGGGACCTTCTGTTACTTGATACACTATGTTTGATGGTTCGATTTGCGGATGCATAACCTGTGAAAAAAAAAGATAGTGATCGTTGACACCAAAAGACCTGGAGGTCTGCCACGAAATACTGTACTACGTGATTACGTCCACAACGAAGATCATACGTGTAGTACAAATGTTAATTTTACGATGAAAGTAATGCCACAATTCGATACGATAGCTGTCATTTGACGTTTTGGGCTAAGGTATCCACAAATACTTGTGCCAAATGACGAACTTCGATCGTTGCCTCGTATTTCATGGTAGACCTGAATAATGAGGAAAAGCCTCAAGGAAAAAAAACAGTGTATAGCTGAAACTTACAATTTTACGGAAATTCTAAAATGAAATAAACTCAGAAACTACCACAATATTTAAATAATCTCAGTACAGAGTACTAAAAAATCCGACCTCAAAATTTCGTGAAATTACATATATTTGCCAAGTTTTATTGAAATCTGTTACCAGAACGTGCGCGAACCCGAGTGCGTCCCCTGAATTGCCACCATTAGCCGAGGAATATTTTCTTCAAATTTAAATTGAACTTTCTTTCTCTTTCCAACAAAAAAAAATTATCATCAAAATCTTAGACTTCTCATGTAACATACGTACAAAAATGAAAAAACACAATCGAATTGAGAACCTCCTCCTTTTTTTGAAGTCGGTTAAAAAAATCAATATCATATTATAGATTTTTCGAATGTAAGCAAAATATATAATAATACGTTATGTATTTTGACATCTCTGACGAATAAACAGATAGCCTAGCACTTTATACCTTTAACAATAAAAAGAACTACCTACCTCGAGCACATCTCTCGTAACGTTGACACTAGTAGATTCTTCGACGATAAGCGGTTTGCTAACTGTTACCCTGAGTGGTTCCCAATAACAGGACGGAAATATTTTTATCGGATACATTCCTTCGCCCCATGTGTCGAGGCACATTACTTTGAACCTGTATAGTAAAGACACACATTAAAAATTGATGCAATTAGCTTTGCTTGCTGCCTCTAATCTCGTCCGTACTGGGAGAAACAATTGTAATAAAAAATTGATGGTTACGTTGACACCGTTTGTATGTGTGCGCAGTCTAACAAATAATGAATAACCGTTTCATATAAATGTTTTTTGCATTATTGTAACAAAACATTTTTCGTCCACAATAGCACACAACGCCTTACTTTCTCAAACTCATATCTTAAAGCACGAAGTTAATGAAATGCAAAAAATGGATTGTTGAAACAAATTTTGCAGGCTGATTTCACACCACATTTCCTTCATATTCACACACTAGCTTTTACATATTCTTAAAGTAAAACAAAAAGAAAGTTTTGCCATCTCCTGAATAGCCCTGCAGGCTTAGCATGAGCCCGAAGACAAAAATTATCTATTCTTCGAACTGTCAATTTTCTCATCATTTTCGAGAGAAAATTGACAGTTCGAAGAAGAGATAACTTTTGTCTTCGGGCTCATGCTAAACCTGCTGGTAACTGGCACTTCATGTAGGCTAACAATCCTGCAAATAAAAATACAGACAAGTAATACTTACCGGAACTGGTCAGTAGGTGTTTTAGGCTCTCGGTGTCTATATGCTACACGTCCCGCTGCGACGTCGAGCTGGGTGAAAGAATAGGCGCCCTGCCCTTCTCCTACTTCAATAGAGCCGTGTTTAGGCTCCTGGATTATATCGTATCGAAAGTCTTCTTCAAGGCAATTCATGTTTGTATCCACCTGTAAGTACAATAGCTACAGAATACTTTTAAATAAAAAAATAACTAAAGACAGCCTTAAATAACTAATAGAGGTGCCCGCCATTGATGTAAAGAATACGCTTTTGGATTATGCTGTATAATCCAAAAGTGTATTTTTCTGTACATGAAAGATGTGAAAATAATCAATTAGTCTTAACATTAGGATATTCAAACAAAATACAATTAATTAGAAACGAACCTGTAAGTCGTTAGACGTAATAACAACTGCTTTCCCATTCTCGACAATAGAACCATTCGTAGGGTACATCCTAATGAACGGCGGCGAGGCTTGTATCTCCAAATTTCCATTCACATCAAAAAGACCATCAGATATCCAAAATGCAATCTTCCCATACTCTTTACCTTGATGTTTGAATAGCACGAGATTCTTATTTACATCGTCTTGAGTGAATTGCGCTATTTGTTCTGAAGGATTATCAGCTCTAAATATACCTCCGTTCGGGGGATCTTTAGTATATCTTTGTACTGTATAGACGATATCTGATGGTTTTGTATCCAAATCAGCATCTATGTAGCTTAGATCTCGAGGTGTAATGAGTCTTGCGCCTCCATGTACAATGTGGAACACGTTGTCGTTCACTCGCATAGGACTGTTATCATTCTTGAGAATAATATCGATATGGAAGACGCCTACGTATTGGAAATCCTCCGGTTCTGGACTCAAAGCCATGAAATGGAAAGAATCATGTCTACTTTCAGAATCATCGTGAGCATAGTACACTTTGTCAGAGTTCAGTTCTTGTAGCGTAAAGTACGTCGTATTATCTCTTACAATTTTCAAATTATCATTTATCACTTCAATTTTACCGTGCTTGGGCAAGTGAGTTATGTTGAAAACAAGATTGGTAACGGCGTCAGTTTTGAAATTGAGGTGTGTGGCAGGAATAGCCATTCTGGAACCTTCCATGACCTGCAGTCTTTCTAAGGTGGTATGGACGCGGCCCGCGCTGTAATCAGTACTAAGCGATCCAGGTGTATGTCTTATGGTCATTACTCCTGTAAAATTCTCGCATTCTGTCGCACCAACGACAAATGAAAACTCATCTTGTATATGGGAATACGCACGTCTATGTAACCTGTACCAGAGCTGGTCGGTATCAATATGTTGCTGAGTGAAAGTACTGTGCGTTTGTAGGTGATGTTTTCCTGACGAAAGATGCAGTATACCATACTTGGGAGGCCTTATAATGGCATAAAAAATTCTATCACTTGGTAAATCTAGTGGTCTCGTTTTAAATTTCAAATGTTGTGAAGATATGAAAGCTTCTCGCGAGTTGTTTAGTACCAGTTCTTCGTTGACTGCTTGATAGAGTTCGAGTTTGATGAAGGTCAGTCGAAAATCATAAAGTGTGTTGGTTCGTATTGTTCCAACAGAGGCTTTGAACTTGAATTCGTCGTGGGATGGACTACCTAGAAGATGCATGTATCGAACTTTACCGAAATTTACCATTTCGTTTGTAAATGAATCCACTGTTTGCCAAGTCCCATCGAGCACGCGCAGCCGTTCTACGACACCGAATTGCGGGGGCTTCACTATGTCATACCTGCGAAAATTATAGGGGCTTAACTTTCGTAATAAAGGTACCAAGAGGTCTATTAAAAAAATGTAACCTATCACAAACTCGATTTTTTTTTCCGAAATAACATTTGTTCGAATGTTCATTACACCGAAAACCGAATCATAACGAAACCATTGTTCTTTCAGGATATGTTGGATGTTTATCGTAAAGACACGATTAGGTTAGGTTAAGTTAGGTTTAAAAGAAAAAACACTTTCCTCTCAAAATTACTTTCGAGGTTATGAAAATTCGAGCAAACGTTATTTCTGGAAAATGTCTTTTCGAACTACTGATAGGTAACCAAAAAAATAGTACTTTTCATTTAATGCGATAAGTTGCTCAAATATGATACTTACTTGACTTGCACATTCGTTTCGTCTGCATTAGTGGTAAAGGTGAGATTGTCAGCAGTAATAATAGCATACGAGTTGTGCACGAGTTGCAGTCCGGTGTTATTAACCAAACGTACTTGAAGTGGTACTACTGATATCCTCAACACTCCGGGACCACTTGTTTCTATCCCATCAGATACCTGGTGACCAAAAGTAAATAAATGTCTAATATCATTAACAAAAGTTTCACATGTGAAACAGAAACATGGGCATTCAGAAATCATGATTCACACCAGTATTTATGAACAAAGACAAGTCTCAAGAACGACTCAAGTCATTAATTGGTATTTATGAACGATTTTTACGACTCGGCTCAATCTTATTTCGGTCTCAGGATCGAGTTAAATCGCACTTACATAAAACCAGTCTTTAGCTGTCTTAAATCAGGGGATCTACTCTCGATCTACGTCCGACATCCGTCCGAAACAATAACTGCCAAATAAGCAATACTTGACCAAATGAAAAGACGCGTGATGCGAATGAAGCTTCATACTGGATACTTGTCTTTTGATTGTGTCGCATATTACTTATTTGATAGTAAATTGACAGTAATTGTTTCGGACGGATGTCGGACGGAGATCGAGAGTAGCCCCCCTGACTCGGAAACATGTTTTCTTTTGAGTAGCTCTGACATTTTTTTTTATTTTACCTTTTTGTATAATACCAAATGACGAGACGAAAAAGTCGTGCGCTTGGTGGTAAGCGACACGCCTATCCCTAACAGTTGCAGTGCCACTCAGAGCTTTGAATAGATCTTATGGGCACCGCCACTGCGCCTGTCAGCCTGAGATATAACTTGACAAGTGTGGCTGTAATTTCACCAGCACCCTTACCCTTTTAAACCGAAATGCAGTAATGCTCACATTAGTGCTTGGCGGCAGAAATAGACAAGGTGGCAGTGCTTCACTGGACGAACTCTTTCACAAGGAGCTCTACTAGTACTAAAATTTCAATTTACGTGTTTGCCTACCTTTATTTTGCTTTGTTTATAAATTTGTATTAAATTATTTTAATAATGGACGACTTTGAGGCCTTCATGGCTAATTATCTGGAGACCGAAGATGATTACCGCGGTGCAAGAGCACCTAAAAGATATCTGACGGACTCTGGCAATATCTTAAATGTACTGGACGACGAACAGTCAGAACAGATACACATCAAATTTTCATACCTGTAAAGGCTGAAAAGCCTTTACAGGTATGAAAATTTGATGTGTATTCTTCTTATTAAGTAAGAAAGTAAAATAAAGTACGAACTATTTGATATTTACGAATATTATAAAAGAGTCAAATACCACTGTGGGGTAAACGGCACCACGAGGCTAATCCTCTAGATACTATTTCTAAATACCTTACAATTTCAAAATACTTCTATAAATCCTTGTATCAATAATGAAAAAACAAATATCAAAAGTTATAAGTTTATAAATACCCTATTATGTACCTAGCTACAAAGGAAGATGTCCAGTCAAAAATCATCAGTTTTGTTTACTGCTATCAACTTGTTTTGGTTTCTCATTTCAAATAGGTTCAGAAAAGTGCTATGGAACTTACTTTGCCTGTTCCTGAACTTACTTGGTGAGAACCCAAGAAGTTTCATACTTCAATCATTTCAACAAACAGTTCAACACATTTTTAAGATATAGAAATAAGTCGTATCCCAATGTATCCCTCCAAAACTTCAAACTGGAATATCTTTAATTCCAAACTTCTTGGAATAGTAAACTCAAAACCAAATTTGTTTAATAATTTAAACTTTACATTTTCACACATTGCATATGCATACAGGCTATATCAACAAAAATTTATGTGGGAGTTCGCCATTGTTCTTTGATAAATATTGCACTTATACAATACCAAGACGTAAATGTTACCAAAATATAAAGCGCGGTTTCCGTCACACTTCAAATTCACACGGGTATGAGTGACAGACATGACGTCCTATTATAGCCTAAAACAGCCGATTGTCATTTGTGTTCTGTTGTTTAGGTTATTCGTAACGCCTAAATATATACAAACCTGCAAGGTCAGTCTTATCGAAGTTTTGTTCAACTGCTTATCTCCAGTAGCTCCATGGACATAGGATATGATTCCACTGTCTACATCTTGCTGGGTGAAGGAGTCCACAGGCTGGCCGGAAATTTCAATGTGACCACTGCAAAAATAAAACATTATTTATTTTATTTAAGATTATTTATTGTATCAAACACATAATACACCAAAAATGAAACCTTGACACTCTGAAAGTGAGAGCCTTAAGTGATATGCAAAGCAAGGTCTCACTTTAATGATGCCATCGGAGTAAATGTAGACTACCTCATAGAAAGCATTGTGATTTAAACGACATCAAAAGTACTATTTACATTTAAGGGGATCGTCACGCTCCTATGTAATCTAATAGCCACTAGATGGCGTTGGTAAGGCGAAATAAGTTTTTACGATTTTCGCATAATTGGTAGTTAACGAAAGAAAGCTTTTTTTCTTCTTTCTGTCTCAGTGCTACCGACAACACTACTGTTTCTACCAATTATTTATCAATATAACTTTGGACAGTGTTGCGACCACTGTTTCTAACAATTGCCTGTCAAACTTTTGAAAGACGAAATGTCAATGACACTGGGATGTATAGCGGATCGTGATATTACATCAAATAAGCAAACAAAGAAATGTTATGGATTTCAGACGAGACTTTCGATTATCAGCCAATCAAAATCAATTCAACATGTATAGCTCCATTTTAAGCTATTGATCGGTGCAAAGAATACAATACGAAATTCAAACTAACCATTCACATTTGCTTAAATTAGTTATCCTTTGATAGCTCATGGAAGGTTTTATTATAGTAAAATAAGAAAAGTATGGTAACTTCGTACAAAGTAACAATGCGGCTTGTATTTGTGCGTTCGCATAATAATGAAAGGCGGGTTAGAACGACCAGTGTGAAGGTGGTTTTCCACCGGGCGGCGAGGCGAGATGAGAAATGGCGAGTCGAGACAAGGATTAAAAGTTGTATTGCAAAATTTCAATTCTCTCTTAAATTGAAATATTTGTTAACGTAATATTGAACTGTAATGCTGCCTACATAGAGTATTATACACTGCAAGTGAAACACGATGTTTCGTACGTGCTCGCGATGGCTATTACTACAAAAATACAATGGTAAGATTTTGGAGTACAGTCGCTAACCACAACCACAGCGTGATCTCGAGCGAGTTTTTGGTGGAAGTAGACTGACGAGATTTCTATTTTCGTTTCGCCTCGCCGGTGGAAAACCACTTTTATGCAACGCAAGTGCATAGTGAAATTATGCTAATGTGTGCATGTAAACCGCGCTGCAACGTTTGTATGAAGTTACCATACTTGTCTTATAGTATACTATGGTTTTATTTTGTCCTTCACTTGGAAGACCAATGTCTGGGCAAGGGAAGTTATCACGTTGATAAAGAAATGGTATACCTGTTCGCCTCATTCCTTCCATGAAGTACAGTGTACAAGAGATCTTCTGGAAGCGTATCAGGATCTTCAGCTTTGAGTATATCCGAAGTTATAACCTTTCGAGTACCCTACAAAAAATAATTATGCTATATTGATAAGAAATCAGATGAATGATGGGTTATAGACGATTCAATGGGCAAAATTGAACGCAATATGCATGCAAGTATTATAGAATTGTGGGGTTTTTTTTTTTTCGATTACCGCTATAGAAATCTTCGGTCTCATCTGCCAGCATTTTTGCTCAATTTTGCATGCACTGAAACATCTATAATGGGCTCTGGTTTAAGAACCAACAGCAGATTCAGATATCTTCACTGTTTTACTAGGTGAAAAATGAACCTTAAGCTGACATTACAATAGACCTTGTCTGAGAGAAATTGGTTAACAGTTAGAAAAAAAATTATTACAGTTAGTTTGAAATGCCCAGAAAATTATATGACTGAAAAATTGTTATAAAAGTACGCTTAAAAATTTAGAAAGCGGGTATTGAGCTCTAAATTAATAGTAAGCAAACCAATAATTATTTTTTTATTTTAAAAGCTGTAAGTAGTTCTACAAACAAAATACTCACACACTATATAGTGTTAGACGGGTGTCGACGAACTTGTGTCATTAAAATAAACATGCAACTACTCAAAAGCAAAAAATAAAATTAATTGAAGCGCTTGGAACACTCTGAAAAACAAAATTGAAACAATTAAAGGTCATTAAATAATAAAACTAATACATGCTTCATTTATGAGACATGCAATATCTATTGTGAACCTAAGATATGTGGGTCACAAAGAAATGGACCTTCTAAATTCGACGTAATAATTATTACACATATTTTTTAAATACCACATAATAGTCGTATATTTGATACATGATACATCTATCTATCTGTCTATATTTGGGTAATATGATTTTTCAGTACATGACGTTCCGGGAGGAAATTTTTAAGTCATTCGTTAATTATATGACATACCTGTGTCAACCTTAGCACTTTGCCAGGCAGCAAATTGAGGACGGGTGGGTCATTGACCGGCGTGACGTTGACATGGAGAACGAACGTGTTTCTCCCTTGCAGATAGCTCGGTAGTGTGAATTTAGCCTCTGGAATAAGTTCCATGTCGAGAACTATTGCGTCTTGATGATTCTCTGAACCGTCATGGACATAACGAACCTGCAATACATATTCATGAGATGTATTCAATCAATCAATCAGGCTATTGCAGTCCACTGCTGGACATAAGCCTCCCCAAGTGTACGCCAAGGTGCCCGATCACCCGTTTTCCGCATCCAACCACTACCCGCGACCTTCTTCAGATCGTTGGTCCATCTTGCAAGGGGACGTCCTACATTACCTTCTCTCTCTCTCACTCTCGGGTTATCGAGTGGAGACCACGTCCGAGACGTGGTCTCCACTCGAGAACCCGTCTACTCCATCGCTCATCGGTTCTGCGACATTTCTGGACGATGTCCACAACTTTAGTCTTATAGGATAGCTTCGTTCTGGACTTTGTCCCTTAACGAGATACCCAGCATAGACCTTTCCATAGCTCGCTAAGCGACGTGTAGTCTGTGAGCCAGTTTCACCGTCATATTCTACGTCTCGGCTCCATAAGTCATGACCGGAAGGACGCATTAATTGTAAACCCTGGTCTTCAGGCACCGTGGGAGTGGTGACGAGAAGACATGACGCAGTTTCCCAAATGCTGCACAACCCAGCTATTTCACGCTCGAAGTTGTCTCTGCCTAGTTGCAGGGTTTGTCCGAGACTATTGCCCGAGGCAGACATAGTCTCGGACAACTTCGAGCGTTTCGCCATTAATCGAAATCGGCTCCGGGATGACGAGCTCATTGAACAAGACCTTAGTCTTGTCCAAATTCTTCCGAAGACCGACCGATAATGAGGCAGCGTTGCGGCTGTTCAGCATTTTCTGCAGATCCTGCAGCGATTCAGCCATTATAACGATGTCGTCGGCAAAGCGAAGGCGTGTGAGAATTTCGCCATTGACATTGACCCAATCCGGTCCAATCAAGTGTCTTGAAGACGTCCTCCAGAGCGTTTGAGAACAGTTTCGGAGAGATAACATCTCCCTGTCTCACGCCTCTGTGCAACTGGATGGGACTTGTCTTGTAGCTTTGTACTTGGACGGACATCGTGGCCTTGCTGTACAGATGTCTCAGCACTTCTACGTACCGCCAATACTTGGCATCGCTGCAAGGATTCCAGAACAGCCCAGGTTCGATGGAGTCGAAAGCTTTCTCGTAGTCCACAAATGCTAGACAGTCGCTGATTATACTCTTCGGACTTCTGTAAAATCTGTCGAACAGTGTGTTCCGGTAGCTGGAAAGCGTCAGATCTTCCGTCGAGACGATTTGTGAGGACTCTCGAAAACAGCTTATAGACGTGGCTCAGGAGCGCGATAGGTCTGTAGTTCTTCGAGAAGGTTTTGTCTCATCATGAGATTTACTATAACACCTTATTTAAATTATACTAATAATAGTGGTTTAAAAGTAGGTTGCACTGTACGAATGTAATAGAAGCGGCTTTCTAACATCCATTATTAATTCCCAGCGTATCTCTCATATAAAGAGCTTCCTCAAACGGTCCAATATTTCCACGTGATTAATTTAACCAACGGAAAAGTCAAAAGTAAACTATCGTAGTTTTTTTCATGAGACTAAGTGATTGGGACGAGTTATTCGCCCACGTAATGGGTGAGTTTGGGCCATGAAAAAGCAGCGATATACCTAAAAACGGATTTTGATAATCATTTATTATAAAACGAAATATTTTATCATACAACCGCCGATCAATATAAGTATTCACATGGAATGCGTACATACCTTGTCTCTCGATAAATCCATAAGTGTAAATGTCTGTTTAGATTTTTCTCCTTCCATGTAGCTCGTGTATTGTGGCGAATTTCGTTGCAGTGACAAATCAATCGCAATTCGACCGTGTTCGGGAGACTGGGCGACGTGAAGTAGCACCCCCGAAGGGCGAACGCCGTATTTATGGTGGTCTAATACAACGTCGATGTTCTGGGTTGTGATTACAGCCACGCCGCCTTCTTGGACGGTCAAAGGATAAAGCGCTACTAGTTCTAATTCGCTGCTAGATTTGGAAAATACCTGAAAATCGATGTTATTTGAAGACAATTTCGAATGATTAAATGTTGTGCTACGTGTTATACAGCAGTAGCGAGTGTGGTTATTTGCAATAGGTAAAGATGGATAGGTAAACGCCTTGCTGACTTTCGCAGTGTCACCCTCCTAAAAATGTATTTCAGTCGACTACGGGTCAAATCATTGCTCAAAACAAGTGAATTTTTAAATACAATGTGAAAGTTGTACGTTGGAAAAATAAATATTGCTAAGATTAATTAACTTCTTAAATATAACATTTACTAAAAGTAAATATAATGTTTACCAAAAGTGACCATAAATTATACTTTGGGAGCATGTAGTTGATACATTAATTATTATATAAAACGGTGTGTATTTACTTTATATTTCTCCGCGTAATCAGGGTTGATGCAAAGTTCAGAATCGCATTTGCAAGTAAAGTGATCCACGCCATGTTGTTCACATACAGCTTGCGGCACACAAGGGGGATTACTGGGGTTCGCGTGGCATGGATACCACCACACGCATTTCGGGCTCACGCCGTATGTCACCACTGCGTTTGGCAGACCATACATTTTGTCATCCACCTCTATTGGTTTTATACAACCCTGCGAAATTGAGAATGTTATTAGCTTTGATGTAATAAACCCATTAGAAATTTAGTTATCTACATTTCCCATGACATACCTCCGCAGCAAAGCGAGTGCGATTGCTTTTCCATGAAGTTTACAGTTCGGTTGCTTAAACATTTTCACTTATTTATTTATTTTTGGCATTTAAAAAGAGGTACAATATACTTAACTAAAACATAGTCCTACAAAACTGTATATACGTTTGACTGCAGGATCGAAAAGTCTCAATAGAGCAAATACTTACAAACTGACACTCAATGTAGATAAAAATGCTTAAATAATATAATTACTAACTACTCAACAAAAAGCTGTGAAATAATGATATTTCAACATTTTTTTTAAATTAAATTTTTTTAGTTTCATGTAGTAATGCAGTATGTGAATTATAAGCTTATTAAAGACCCCAGCTTTCTACTTAGAGATGACCCGTAAGTTCACTCAAGCGTATATTTACGAAATCTTAGTTGTAATTATCGAATTTTTTTTACATTTAAAATCCGTTAACACAAAATCTTGAATGGTGCTCTATTCAAAAATACATCACTAATAAAAAAACATTTGATGAAGCTTTAGATTCGGACTCCCGCTATATGCCAAATAAGCCAATAATTTCTTGTAATATAAACATTTGCCTACCAAAAAATGGAGGTCGGGTCTAACACAAAAACCACGAAAAAAATGTCCGAAGTTAACCTGTGCCAACGTAGTGACATGAACGAAATATAAAAAAACTAAAACATTAAATTTAAATTGTAACGTCATTACAGTACTGCTTACAGTAATTTAGCTTGCAACAATTTAAAGGGCCCAAAAACACCATATTCAGCTTCTACTGGAAGCGTAACAAAATGCACCATATTTAGCTTCGACTGAAAATTACTTGAACACAAGAGTAATGGAATAACCTTTATTGTAAATATCAATTATTTTTTTTGTATATTATTATGTCCAATTTTGTACAAATTCACTTGAAGAAATAATAAAGAGTTGGGCAGATACATACATACAAATATTACTAATGTGAAAATAAGCGTGTACTATAAGAAATATACCGATATTCCAACTAAACTTAAACTCAAATATCCGTAATTCCGAAAACCGTTACGCTTTTAAGTAATTATGATCCTTCGCACAAAGCCAAAATTAGCTTTTGTTTTGCAATATTCATAGAAAAATACATTTGACATTATGAAAATTCGAGCCAACGTTATTTCGGGCAAATGTATTTTCTGACTTCTGATAGGTAATCCCTAGCCGTAAAACGAGTACACCAATATGTTGTTAGTTATTGCTAACGTTTAATAAAAAGTCATTTTAAAAATAAGATTAAAATCAACACGACTCTATAGTTTCTTTGTTCCAAATATTTCAATCGCTCATGGTTCGAACAATTGAAAATGACCAGTTTATACAGTGTGTTACGGCACGCACTGTACAAACTTTAAGGGGGTGTTTAGTATTCAATATTATGTGAAAAACACTAATACATGTGGGGTCAAAACTCGACTCCCTAGGACGGGTAGCCATTTTGATTTGTTATACTTAGTTTACTAGACGTTTGTTCTAAAATTATCATATTATGAGAAGTAAAAGCAGTACGAACATAAAAAATATTTTTTCGGAAAGCTAAGATTAGCGGCAATTGAATAAAATATCTGTCATGTACATAAAAAAGTGGGGGATTGCCTAAAAAAAATTACGAATGTAAATTTTTACCAAAAAAACTGCCGAAAAAACTAAGTTTTTGTAATTTAATCCTAAAATAACCAAATTAAGGTACTGTTTTTGTGTATGAATTTTAAAGTATTTCAGCTGTTCTTAAAAACAAGACCAAAATCATAATCGTATGTCTACAATTCTAAGTTTTTACTACTCGAACTTAGTATCTTAACAACACAAAAGATCGCTCTCGGTTACAACAATGGCGATGAGTTCAACCATTTATTACCTGGCTCACTCTGCCCAGCTTGCAAGTGTAAAAGGGACAAAAGATAAGCCCCTAAGCACAATCCTGATTGAAAAAAAGTTCTAAGGGAACTTAACGGTTCGACAATTAACAGTCAGTTGTTACTCTCTACTCAGACAACACATCTTGACCAAAAGTGCTTTCGGAGTGAAATTTATTGTTGATTCGTCATGAATAATCAGCAGTATTCAAGTGCGCATATTGCAGATATTCATTTCATCTATGGATTATGCAATGGTAATGCACTGGCAGCAGTTCGTGAATACCGAAGGAGATTCCCAAATCGGCCTACACCTAATCACCAGACATTTCGTGATATTCATAGGCGATTGGCAGAAAATGGTATTCGTCAACCAGTAGGTGAACGTGCACGTGAAATACCAGTTTATGATGAAGAAACTGTTCTTAATATGATCTACAGAGATCCAAGATTAAGCACGAGGCGAATTGCTCTCCGACTTGGTATGTCGCATTGGACAGTGTGGCGTATTTTGAAAAGTGAAGGCTTATATCCTTACCATTTTCGACGCGTGCAGAATATTAGTGATCCGGACTATGCAGCACGTTCAGTTTTTAGTGCGTGGATTAATCAAAAGGTGCGGCAACAGCCAAAGTTTTTAAAGATTTTATGGAGCGACGAAGCTTCGTTTACAAGAGCGGGGATAACCAATTATCGTAATTTACATATGTGGATTACCCAAAACCCTCATGCAGTGAGACCATCCTCATTCCAGCATGAGTTTTCTGTCAACGTTTGGGCTGGTATTATTAATAACCAATTAGTTGGACCGGTGGAGTTGCCGGAAAGATTAAATGGCCCAAGATTTTTGGAATTTTTAAGGACAGAGTTTGTGGAATTACTCTCAGAATTGCCAATCGCACGTCTCCGAGGAATGTGGTTGCAGCTGGATGGAGTCCCGGCTCATTTCGCCACAGCTGTGAGACAGCACTTGAATGAAAATTATCCACAGTGGATTGGAAGAGGCGGCACTGATGCGTGGCCTCCGCGTAGTCCGGATTTAACTCCATTAGATTTTTTTTTTGGGGTTGGATGAAACAAAAAGTTTATTTTAACCCAGTGAATACGAGAGAGGAGCTATCGGCGCGCATTCGTGAAGCTGCTGAAGAAATTCGTGCAAATCCCGAAATTTTATATCGGGCCACGCAGCAGCTTGCCTTCTAAAGGGGGGGGGGGGTGGACGGACATTTTGAACACCTTTTATAATTTATGTGTTTCTTTTTTCTTGTAAAATAAATAATCTAATATTTTTTACTGTTTTTTATTTCAAATTAACTTACTACATCTCAACACAAAACAATTTACTAGAAAGACTGTAAAATTTACTTACTTCGCTCTCGGAGACGTTATGTTGCAGAAGCTGTAACTTTTAGAATTGTGGACATAGGATTATGATTTTTGTCGTGTTTTTAAGAACAGCTGAAATACTTTAAAATTCATACATAAAAACAGTACCTTAATTTGGTTATTTTAGGATTAAATTACAAAAACTTAGTTTTTTTGGCAGTTTTTTGGTAAAAATTTACATTCATTATTTTTATTAGGCAATCCCTCACTTTTTTATGTACATGACAGATATTTTATTCAATTGCCGCTAATCTTAGCTTTCCGAAAAAATATTTTTTATGTTCGTACTGCTTTTACTTCTCATAATATGATAATTTTAGAACAAACGTTTAGCAAACTAAGTATAAAAAATCAAAATGACTGCCATTCCTAGGGAGTTGAGTTTTGACCGCACATGTATTAGTGTTTTTCACATAATATTGAATACTAAACACCCCCTTAAAGTTTGTACAGTGCGTGCCCTAACACTGTAGAAGCTTCTTGAAATTGACGTAATGGATCTCTTTCCATCTTTTGCGCATGCAATGTGTAGACAAAGGACAGTTAGTGATTTAATTATTTTGTTTGCTTTTGTAATTTATATTCACGATGAATTTATATATAAATTAAATACTATACAACTGTACAAAATAACACTTTTAAATGGTAACTATGATAACACAATATATTTGTTTAGTGAAAATATGATACAAAATCCTATTTATACACTTTACTGTAGTAATTTTTACAAGTTATTATTATATATTGTACTGCACAATTGATAACCGTGCTGTCAATCGAATAAACGAAGACTGCTGCGCGATTGACGCTCTGTATGCGATTTTGACGCCCTATGGATTCGGACAGTTTTTAGCGTGAACCCGACGTCCATTTGTTAGTACGTCAATGAATATAAACAAAGGTAATAGATACAAAAGGCTAACATACATAAAAGTTTAAACACTAGGCTAAGACTTAATTCAAAGGGAGGAATTTAGTTCCCGCTGCATAGTGCCGATAATTGTGTTGGATTTATGTTGCGGGTCCCACATTTATAATATAGACAAGATGTAACATTATATCAAGACTCAAAAGTATATTCCTTTAATGCATAGTTTCCTCTGCTGGTCTCCCCCCAGTGGGCGCTGAAGAGTCCAATGGGAGCGGTAGAGGTAACAGAAGCAATTGGTTGGCGTTGATGGTACCGCATTTGACAAAAAAAATACCTGAGTTAACTATATAAACTACACTACATATTTTCTTTTTCCTTGTGATTTTTTCTGTGAGTTAATACGAAAAATACGTGCTTTCAATTATTTCTTGTGGTGGTGGGCGTTGAAATATTTTTATCTTGCCTAAGTGAGCGGTGGGCCAAAAACTTTGGGAACCTATGCTTTAATGTAAATGCAATATCAGTACCATTATACTGGAGTCAGCAGCTTTAATTCCTTTAGCGAAGGCTCGCTGTCGCTTCTCTGTCTCTATCCCACCAAGGTAGAACGAATCTGATAGATCGAGGTATCTAGTACCTCCACTTTCAATCCTGGTGCTCATGGCTATGTTATCCACCGAGAGCTGGAAAACGAAAACGAATGATTCATTCGAAATGTTGTACGACACTCCGATTATTTTGTAGTAAAAAAAAATAATTCTCTTAATAAAAATACCATTCTTTATAATTTTGTATTGTATTGTATTACGTATTTCTGTTGAGCAAAAACACGCATCTCATAGGGACAAAAATATAAGACTTATTAAGAGCAGACGATTCAATTCCAAAACAGCAGCATATCTATCTACACATTGATGGATTTTGTTTTGTTGCACTAGAGGCAATATTCGAACAAAAGTGTAAAGTTTATGTGCTGCTGACTGTATAATATAAGGTTATATTTAAATATTAAGAAACTAATTAAATATTAAATAGATGTAAATGTCAGAGTCCAATATATTATATCCAACGCTTTATTACTTATGCAAACAAAATACGCTTTTTTTACACAACAAGTCATAGCTCTATTGCCACATTTCTGAGCAGACTTCCCCCGAGATTAAGAAGATCGAGGGGAACACTGCAATTCACTTTGTCTGATTGGGTGAGAAACAATTAAAGCAACACAAAAACACAGCAAGCACATAGGTTAGTTAAAATTAGCTTATATAGTATTTTATTATTTTTATTCTTTGTGTTAATCCGCGGTTAGTTAATAGTCGCTTCTGAGTTATATACACTTCATGAATATGACTATATATACTGAATGCTCTGTTACTCTTTATTCTTGGTCCAAAAACGAGCCCCTATCAAATTATTGTGTATTGAAATAGTGACCTTTAATATATTCATATACAGTCGAGATATTATGTTTAAGCCGTGATAGCCTAGATAATAGTTTCCCAAAGTGGTCCCTACCGCCCGTGACTCTTCAGTGGGCACTAAAGAGTCCTAAGGGAGTAGGGGCTCGGAAGCAATTGGGGGACGTTGTTGGTACGGATCCAGGAAGTGCTACCGAATTTGAAAAAAAAATACCTGAAATATCTATATAAACTACACTACATATATATAATTTTTTTCTTTGTTATTTTTTCCCTATGAGCGTGATGCGTTATTTTTATTTATTTAAGAATTCGTGTAAAGTACATTGTTGTGGCTAATATTATTTGTTTTATATATTCTTATTTTTTGTTAAATATTTAATTAAGTTTGGTAATTTGTAATATATTTTAATCGACGTAGCTAGTACGCCAGAATGTTATATCTTTAAACGAGAGGTATGTAGCATTGATACTAAGGGTTATAGTCTATAGTGGGTTGATGCTCCGTCCCCTCTTAGCAAAACAATAATTATGTACCTTGTATAGCGCCATTACGGTTGTGCGTCACAAACAAATATTGCAGTTGTTTTCAAACTCTTAATTTTTTAAATGCCTGTTTTTTCAACTAACTCCATTCTTTAAAGAGTCACCGCTTTTATTAAAGCTGAATTGGCTTCAGTTGGAAGAAAAAAAAATTATATCCATGGAAAGACGTAACTCGTTTCGCGTCCGCTTTAACCGCCGTCACAGAACGCACTACTTTTTCGCTCTTATTACATGGATATAAAGCTTTTTCTAACTGGGCAATAAATGTGGTGACCCCCTTAATGTTAATGGAAAGCTTACTTACGCTTACTAAAGCTTACTTGGAAACTTTACTTTTACATCCTGTCATATACCTAACTATGTACGTATAATAACTCTGAGATAAAATCGAAGTAAGGAGTATCAATTACAAAAAAAAAAATTTTAAGAATAGTGGAAACGTGAAAAGGTCTAAAAAAATAATGCAAGATGTTTTATATTGTTCTTAAATGGTGAGCATGTACAGTCAAGAGCACATCAAGCTTGACACTATGTACTTTGGACCGTTCTTGTCGTAGGCGGCATAGAGTTGGAGTTAAGTCTTAAGTGTCAAGCTTGACGTGCTCTTGACCCTGTACAAGCAAAAAATTATCCAATCATCATTTTTATTTAAACCGATACGCTCAAAAACTCATTATTGTGGAAAGATTTGTTATCCTATTGGTCGTGTTTCGGAGGTACACAACCTTTGGCTGCCTTTTTTATTTATTCACTATACAAACACATACATTTTTGAGCAGAAGTGTTATTAACAATAATTTATTGCTATAATGCTATTACTTTTATATTTTATTAAAATAATATTTTTTATGAAGAACAATAATATTAAAATAATAAATTGATTCAATATTACATAGCGTTAATTCTAATTAATAATAAAAATAAAAAGTCAGTTTTTGATCAATACGGATTGATATACAGGTCGGCGGGTTGCCTACCCACCAGCGTGAGCTGCATTGTCACAATTTCGTTTATTCGATTTCTGGCGCTTGTATTTAGCGAATGTGCTCTTTGCCGTATATGCGTTGTGTCGTTGCATGCTTTATACTTCTTTATAATAGTTTTTTAACAATAGCTAAAAAAACCGATTGCCTTTTGGTATATACATGAAATACATTATTTGTTTTGCTTGAGTGAAATCTTAAATCAATGACATGTTATAGAAAAAAAAGTAGGTATACATAAATAAATAACGCACACACTGATAGCCCTGCACATACATAGAATACCACAAATTACACCCAAACTCAAGAAAGAAATAACTGCAGGTAATACAAATATTTCTCTCGGCCCGGGAATAGAAACTGAGAGCTTTGCATGACGGGCCGACATGGTAACCGTTCGGTCATGAAGGCAATATAGCATTTATGATCCTGATGTAAAATTCTGTGATATGTTTCTTTCGCGCTGTGTATGGGGTAATTTTCTATGGGCTGCGGCATTTGTCATTTCGTCATAATTTCTCAATTGATCTACGAAATATATTGACACAAAATGGTTCTAAAAGTTCTGTAAGTTGTTTAATAAAAAAGGGTATTTTTTTCCATTATAAATTATTACTCGTAATATGCGTAATATGAAGAGCAGAACCGGAAAAAGGTTTATTATCTATGAGATGTCACTTCGACAGTGGTAGGTGTTTGTTTACATTGACTTGGATTTCATCTCAGAGTATAAACCATCACAAAGTTCGTAAGAAAACCTGCACATCAAGAAAGGCTTTCAAAACATTTTGCAATTTAAGGCAATTAACACGAATAAATAAATGATAAAATGTTATTATTAAATCACAACAAAGAACATGAAACTATTTGCGTCCTAATGATGACATGGTGGTGGTAGACAATTAATACTTCCTATATACCCAACCGCAGCTATAATTTGTTTATGGGTACGGGACGGATATATCAAATACATGACGACATGTACTTGCTTAATTTATTTAACCATGCGTGTTTGGACTTGAGGCAATTATTTTATTTTTTAAACAAAAAATTCGCAGCGTGCTGGCCAATAGAACAAATTCAAATAGCAGAAAACTTCGAGAGGTTCACATATTCACTTATCGAGAAATTAATCATTCTTTTAATGTGTTTGTGGCAGAGACACTCGCATACTTTGTTTACCGTTGATAACTTTCATGGTACAGAGGTTAGCTTAATTATGGGCGCTTGAGTAGTTCCCGGAGTCGATTCCGAGGAGGAGCAAGTAAATGAACTTTTCAAAATTGATTCTGTATTTCTAATTCCATATAAAACAAGTATAGTAATAAATTTAAGGTAAGCTTAATGCTGAAACTGAAAACAAATAGAAAGTGCACCTTGAATTCAGTGTCATGTTAGTTAGACTATTCGGATTATTTAGACGCCGACTATAAAAATTCACTTAGCCGTGTTTTTACATCTATAATTCGCTGCAGTTTATTTAATTAATTCGCCACAATCAGCTACTAAATATATTTTAATTTTGGACGTAAACTGCAGTTTTAGTATGAATTTGTAATGACGACGTAAATGAATGTGTTGTGGGGTGATTGTAGTGTATATGATGATTTTGCTATAAGATAAAGCCAGAATCATAATTGTAACATGCAATTTTTTCCAAATGATTCCATAAGTGGAGATTTCAAAAAACTTAGAATATAAATATGATTGCACAAGCAATAAAAAACTTATCTTCAAATAAAATTCGGTAAATGTGTTTAAACTATAAAATCGCAAAAGCATTTTAAAACTTTATATGTAAATAAAATGTTTTCATTTTATGTACAAAAATATATGTAATTACATTTTTTTTTATCATCATAAATGATTTACCTCAATCAAGGATGGGTTAAACAAAAGGTGCATCTTGTGCCACTGTCCATCGTTAACCCTTACAGTGTGCACTATTTGTCCACGCGCCATTTTGACACGTATCACCCCTTCTAAGATCTCCACAGCCAAGAAATCAGATCCTCGGCCTCCTCCAGGGTTGTATACAATTATTGAATTTTGTGTTATTGTTTTAAACTCTATTTGCCATCTGAAATTGTAAGTCAGCAATGTAGCACACTAATCGAAAGAAACGTTTTTTTGACGCTATCCCTTTTTCTTTCAATGAAAGAATGCTATTCCGCCATTAAAATCAGGTCTTTGCAAATTAGTGACATTTTGTTGCACTGATTGACTGAGAAAATACTTTTATTTTAATTTCTGGATCATGAAAATACTTAGCAACAACTCTATAAATATTGGTCTTAAAATGTTCTGAAAACCCCACCTTCCGCCAGCTCTAGAGTTTATTTTAGGCAGAATCAAATAAGCTCCTTCATCAACAAAACTGATGTCCGATGTGAGATCGGCGTCGAACTCGGGCGCACAATTCCACGTAACACCTTCCACGTGAACAGATCCACTGCGACTTCGCGCCTTTTCGATAATTTTGACACCATTGTAATAAACCTGCAAAGAGCATAAGTATGAAACAAGGTAAATAATGTGTACGCAATACTGGAATGCAATGTCACTTTGTAATATAAAGGCACAATTGTTACAATTTAAAATTTATTTTCAATCCACACACAATATTATCAAAGAAGCAAGTACTTACATCTTCCATACATCCTCGGAAATTTTCCATATGTCCAAGAAAAAGTTCAGAAAAGTCACCTTGTCCACCCAAAAAAATGCCAAAGTGAATGTTTAACTCAAAGAATCTGCCTGGTAGTTTTTTCTTAACTACATTATCATCAACCTGAAAATTATGGTGATTAGTTATTGCAGTGTTTTCCAAGAGTGTCATTGGTATTTAGTGGTCTTATCTCAGTCTAATTTATATATAGCACTATTTTAAACAGGACTGACAAATATTAGTTACCTTCATGGTAAGATTGGCCTCTCTTCTAACAATGTTGACATGGTGCCACTGCGTGTCATTGAGGTATGTACCTTTTGGTGAAGACAGTTCACTCTCACCAGCACCAAGGTTTATGTGCAGTTTTAATCTTCCACCCTCCAAACGGATCTAAAATATTTAGATTATAGAAATTAAATATATTTAAAAAACCTCCTCCTTTTTTTTAAGTCGGTAAAAAAAGAAGCTGATAAATTATTTTTTTAATGTGACAGGACCTAAACTCAGTCTCTCCATACTTCGTTTCAATCCATTTTAAATATTATACATATCCATAGATGGTTTAGTGATGACCAATTGTAATGCCAACTACAAATCAATTAATTAATTGAATGAATCTATTTATTCAATTGAGACAAAGTAGCAGTTTTCCTTACGTAACTTAATTAAGCATATTTAAAATTTCGAAATCTTAATTTTAAATCCTCCTGCAAATCCTTACACTTAGATATTCATTTGATTGAGATTCAAATATTCGATTTACTAATAGATTGAATGTTTTTTTCGTATAGCAACCATAGACTAGTCATAGTCTCATATAGTTAAAAAGTAACCTCACTTTTGGACTACCATTTTTCAAACATGATTTTATGATTATGAAAATATGATGATATATCAAGTCGAAATCTTCAAAATATACTTCATTGATGTATTGAGTGATTGCTTTAGAATTTTAACCAAACAGTTTTATTTACTTATTGTTGAAAATGGAATGGAACAGACTATAGTACATTTTTTGGGGTTCTATGAAAAGTCACAAAATCTACATATCTTTAGAAGAGCTTAAGTCTACAAAGACATTAATGAACTCACCATACAGTAATCAGTTTTACCAGCGGCAAGTAAGAGTAAAGCATCAGAAAGATGAGTTCGGAATCTGAAACTTATGTCAGTCACACCTTTAGCTTCTTGCAGGGGGTAGGCCACATGACTAGCTCCATAGAAAGATGCTGTAATTTAAACCATTAATTGTAGTTAAAGTATATCACAAAAAAAGAAAAATATGTTAATTGTTAAAAAGCAAGTCAATAACTAAAAAAGTTGCTGAAATAATAAAACAACAAAAATGACACTGAACATGACAAATGATGAAAGAAAAAACTTGATAAATTAACAAAAGATACCATGGAATGGTACCCAAGAGAGGAAAAAAGAAGAAAGAGAGATCATACTTTAGCTGGGAAAATGATTTTAAATATGTTGCTGGCAAATAGTAAAAGAAAGGGAGAAGTGGAAATCTCTACAAGAGGCCAGTATCTTAGGGCAAGCTGTAGTTACCAAATTACCAAAAACATAGAATTTGAGTAATATCATATAATGCTTCTTATATTGGATAAACTAGTCATTGTCTTCATCAACAGAAGATCACATTCTAAATACTTATAAAATGAGAATACTTTCTCAGAGAGACCCAAAATATTGACAACTGGCTGTAATGTGGATAATATTGCTATATTTATTTCTAAATTACTACCTATGATACCTGAAGATACAAAAAAATAAAAATGACAAAAGTAACAATCTGTCTTAACCTAAACTCTTTTGAAATTTGTGAATATTGTTATGAATTGTCTCAAAACAAAATAGATTATGTAAATATAAGTACCTACATGTATATTATAATAGCAAAGTATGCATATTGATATATGCATTTTAGTTAGAATCATATTTCATTACAGCTTTTACATTACTTACTTAGTTACTATCAATTAATCCACATTAACTTATAATAGTGCAATTACAATGCATGTTAATCATTGTAATGGTACGTCAGGTACATTAGATAGAGGTTAACTTGGCTTAATGTAAGACTAGCTGAGAGAATCTAAGGGAGGGAGATGTGTGAGAACTACAAAAGTGCACATGAACATGAAGTTGTAAACAAAGTTACAATGATCATTTGTAACGTAAAAAAACAATATCATGCGTGAATAAGCAGAGTTACCTTTGTCATAGGCATGTCCCAATGCGAGAAGTGCCAAAATTAGAACAAGTAACATTGTATATTAAGACGAACACAATCCTTGATTAAATTGTGAAACCACAATCAGGGCAACTTAAAAACACTATTCCCTATTCTTAAACATGTAAAAGAAACGCGGCACTCCTGCAATCTTGCGAAGACATCATCACTTCAAGTCAACAAGCCAGGCAGGCGTGGCGTGTGACAAACACATCTGTATACGCATTAATTTGGTTGGACGCACATAACATCATGTCACGCGTCGATTATTATTATTGCTGCAAAAACTTAGCACTTGAGTATTAACTATTACAATTTATGTATGCAATGTATAGAAATATTAATAAAATTTACAATGAAAAAAAAACAAGCTTCTCAGTCTTTCTTGTTATTTTATAATTCATTCATTCCTTTTTTTGACATTGCACTTTTAATTCTTCATTCATTCAAAACTGTTCACTCTTGTAGCCGTGCCGTGGTTTTACGGTTTTTTTAATTGGACATGCACGCACGACTAGGGATGCACCACAGACATAATCAAGATACACACCGCAAGTTCTTTACTCATGTGCCGCAAGTACCGCGATCTATAAAAAATCATGCGTGTGCCACATTTTTTGTATCTCCGATGACGTCACAAGTGCTATTTAATGAAGGGAAACCTCCTTCGGCAATAAAGCGATTGACTGAATCCAAGACGCGGACGAAGGACGTATTTAGATAAATTATTTTTCAAGTATTTGTTGATTATAAGAAGCCGTGAAATATTTATAAAATAAAATATTACCAGCATAAGTTAGTTTCTTTCTTTATTACGTGTTTCGAAAAAAAAAGTTGCGCGAGAAATGAAAAAAGACCAAGAAACTATATAGGATATTTTTAAAACAATTTCACTAAACAGTCTAAGGGTGCATTTAATCAACAAGAATTTCATCGCCGTCACCCCACGCGGCCGCCGCGCGATGGCTGAGAGGAATCCGCGTTACCGCCGCGCAGCGACCGCGTGCGTCTAACTGTCATGGCAAAATACGATCTATTTATTTAGCTTTCACGTTTTAACTTAAATGTATCTACGCGGCCACCGGGCGGTTGTATTAATTAGAGAAATTTAAATGTTGTTGCTTAGTAAATAGAATTCAGATTCGCCAATAATGTACGTACATGAAGGCGTGGTAACAAAGCGGTCACGCGTTTGCATCATCGATACAATCGCATATAAATTGCTAGAGTTGCATAGCTTGCAAAGTTGTATAGCTGTTAAAAGAACTGTTCAAGATTTGGTGATGGTGTAATGTTTGTTAATTTATGAAATAAAGTTGGCAGTGGCCGTACACTTTCTATGGTTGGTAGTTTTGACTGTCAAATAGAATTGATCAGATTATTTATGCTTCTCTTTCTCTTTGTGATTTTAGTGTTCTGTGTTAAGTCTAGCCCAGATTGGATTAATACAAATTAAGTCGTGTGCTTTGCATTTAATATTAAAAAAGCTCATTGTATTTTACAAAAAGTTACGACCGCAATACGTACCATTGTATTAACTTTAACTTCTATAAATAAAGTCAGCGTCCCTAATTTGGGAACTAATTTTTGGTCCTAAGCAATACTTTGATTCGTCAAAATTCCGGTCACCACAATGAACAATTCCGCGGCTAAGGTAATAAAGAATATTTGTTTATTAATGTTTGTTTGTACCTACATGATGCTAGTAGCCTGTTACTGTATTATTTTATTTCTTTCATAGGTCGGGGAAATATTTCGCGAAGCCGGCTCTGCGTTTAATAAACTGTCAGAAATGACCATGCTTTTGCATCCTATGGGAGATTCCCAACCTGGGTAAGCTTTAATCGCCAAATTTTTTCTTTTAAAGTCACTCCTAATAATTAAAGAAGGTCACTTAACACCTCTCTCTAATGAATTACTAATATTGGAGAAATCTAGTACAGTCTGTCTTTTTTGAAGATGGAGTAAAATAACATTCCATTGTGCTAGTATTGCTCGCTTGCAAGCAGCTAGTGATTGCAGTTGATAAATAGTATTTATTTGTTTATTAAATCAATGGTGGTCACACTTATGCAATAAACAGCCAAACTTTCTTTCTTTTGAATCATCATCAGCCCATTATTCGTCCGACTACTGGGCACAGGTTCATTTGAATTGTAAATTTTTAGGAAATTATGTACACTGCCATTAAAACTATTGAAAATATGAAGGGGTGGCAGGCATATTTTAAATTTTTATTAATTTTCAAATAGATACTTAAATCTTCAATAATCAGGAATCAGTAATCAGTAATTTATTGCATTCCACAATGTAAAAATACAGAGATGAAAAACTTATATCTATGAGCATCAATTGTGGACCCTGTTGGGCACAGCAATTTCGGTAGAGAGGAGGACGCTATGTTGATATATTTATTTCCAGATATGAACAATTGTACAAATTATAAATCTTAAAAATTAAATGCACCAAATATTAAAAATTTTTATGAAAAATAAATGTCAATAATAATTATCCTGTAGTCAAACTAAAAACTATTTAAAATGTCAAATAATTAGAATTTATATATATTTAAAATGTCAAATAATTAGAATTTAAGTCTATTTAAAATGTCAAGCCATTAATTAATTATGTATCTATCGTTTAAATAATCATTAACATTGTAATAACTTTTCAACAGAAGAATTTGTTTCAGCTCTGATATAAATTTATTATTATTATCTATATTCAGAATTTTGACGGGTAATTTGTTATAAATTTTAATGGACATGGCCAATGGGCCATCTGCATGTATTTTGAGACGAGAGCGGGGCAGCATTAATTTGTTTGGGTACCTTGATGTGTGGTGTGTGGGGAGGTCTGAGCGTTTGGTGTATAATTCTGGGTGTTTACGTACAAATTTACACGTTTCTAAAATATAAATGCATGGTAAGGTTAGTATTTTGTGTTTTTGAAAGTGAGGCTTGCATGTGTCGGTTTGTTTTATGTTACAAATTATTCTTATAATTTTTTTCTGTAATGTGAAAAGCGATGGTGCATCAGTGCTATTACCCCACAGAGTAACACCGTAACTTAGCCAAGCATAGGCATATGCGTAGTACGTCGTTATCGCTGTTTGTGTGTCTGTAGTTTTTTTTATTTCATAAAGTGCATAATAAAATTTTGACATTTTCATACGAATTTTTTTGAATATGTGATTTAAAATTAACATTGGAATCTATATTTAAGCCAAGCAAAGTCCAACTATTTACTACTTCCAAATTTATGTTTTTATAACTAAAATTAATATTGATTGGTTGTTTTTGATGTGGGTGAAAAGACATTAATTTAGTTTTTGCATAGTTAATTTCTAGATTGTGGTCTGTCAGCCATGACTCGGTTTTTTCTACAAGTATTTGGAGCTTGCTGTTTAAAAGAACATTATTTTCACATGACGTTAATATGGAAATATCATCTGCGAACAATATACAAGTTTCGTCAGTGACTGTAGGGAGGTCATTTATATAAATGAGAAATAGGAGGCAACTAATAATACTTCCTTGTGGTATTGAGGCATTTATAATTTTTGGATCCGATCTTATTTTTTGTATTTCTTTTGTCCCATAATTAAAATAATCTATTTCAACGAATTGAACTCTATTTCTTAAATATGACGCAAACCAGTCATGGGCTTTACCGCGAACACCTATGCCCTTTAGTTTATCTAATAATATTTTATGTTGTACTTTATCGTAAGCTTTTGACATATCTAGTAATATGCCATAGCGTATTTCTTTTTATCGATTATATTAAGCACTTCTTGAATATATTTATATACCGCTAAGACAGTTGACCGTTTTTTGCGGAAGCCGTTCTGACTTTCGTTGAATATATTAAACTTTTCACAGAAACTGTAGAGTCTATTATACATAGCTTTCTCAAAAATTTTTGAACACGAGGGCAAAAGAGCTATTGGGCGATAATTATTAGGGTCATTTTTTGATTGAGTTTTATGGATCGGTTTAACTATTGTTTGTTTTAACTGATCCGGGACTATGCCTTCTTCAAATGACTGATTTATCAGTAACCAGAATGGCAGAGCTAGCTCGTCAGCACATTCTTTAAGCAATGCTGGCGGAATGCTATCGATTCCACAGCTTTTTTTGTTTTTTAATATAAAATATTAAATATAAAAATATAAAATAATAAATCTTCCTGTTCTTATTGAAATGTATAATGAATAAAAAAATATTTCAATACTACACTCCGTCCAACCATTTATTGACTGCTCGAATTCTAACCAATTAGTATGTCGTAATTGATTTCTGATTTGATTTTTTTTATAACAATCAATTTTATTTATGAAGAAGTTTAAATCGTGAATGTGAGCAGGTTCAAAAAAGAAAATATTGTCTAATTGAGATTGTGATGTTGCGTTTAACAATTTGTGTACTCAAGAATTAATAATAATTAATGTTAATGAGGATTCAAATGATAATTCATTCAACATTCACATGGAGAAGAATCCGATGATTTACTTGGTACTTCGTGACAGGTTAGTTTCCGCAACTCGACATCAAGGCTCCTATTTTGCGTGTGGTGAGTGCAGGGTCCTACTCGTGCCACTCAAGCTCCTCCTGGAATCTCAGCCTCTTCGGTTTGCTGAAGACTTCGGGGAGCGACCTCGTCACTCCAAAGTACTTTGTCCTGTGGTTGGCCACGCCAGACCACTCTAGTAGGATGTGCGCGGCCGATTCCTCCCCCTCCATGCACACTCTGCATACAAGGCTGTCCGTGATACCTAAATTGAAAAGGTATTTATTGTATGGACCCTGACCCGTTAGATTGGCAGATAGAGTGAGCAGCTCTTGTCTTTTAATTAATCAAACTTAAAAGAATCCGATGATTCGTTATAATAAGAAATAAAAATTTATTATTATTATAATTTATTTCATGTCATTATAATTTATTAGACAAGTACCAACATTTATCAATGTGAATAATTTTTGTTACATAATCTGTTGGCTCAATAAATACCGGAGCTAAAGAGCATGTCGCATCACTAACATTAAAAAATGAAAGAGTCCAGGAAGTATTGCATTTTTTCTCTATAGTTGTATATCAATAATCACGGAACTTCGGAGGTATGCATACTGCAACTGTCAAAATAAGGAAGGCATTATTAGTAATCATTAAAACCTCGTAACATTCACAATTCAGACATTTTTGGCAAAATTTTACCTTCTTTCACAATCCATTGATAAAACTGTGGACAACAAGTCAATGAATGTTTACAATTTTATGATAACTGGTAATCTTGCAAATGTCATTTTACTCCGTTTTCCAAAAAGCCAGACTATACTAGCTACTTAGGTCATACTGTCTCACAATGACCTTCCTATAGGTTGCATGGCTGGTAGTTAGGGCTGGATCACTATCATGAAGTCTCGAAATTCATGGTAGCTCATAGAAGCAATGACTCAAGTTAACCTCAGTAAATTATGCAATTGTACATACAGGATTATAAATTAAATACTGATATAAAAAGCTTGGTGACAATTGTTTATATGTGCTAGTAAAAATTTACATCTTGTCCTGGATGCTTTCTGTTTTACATATATGTTTAAGCAGCTTTGCTACAATTATGTGATTTTTGTTTTACGGTAGTGGCAAGTGGACTGAAGAAGAAATTGAGATGCTGCGCAACTGTGTCCACCGGTTTGCAGTAGACCTCAATAAGCTTAGTCAACATATCAAAAACAGGACTGTGTGAGTATGGTCATTTGTTCAACAATTTTTTCAGCATGTGGAGGTTCTGGGTTCCATTTTACCATGTAAGGTAGGGCCCAGCACAATGATTACAACGAACTTTTTTATAATTTCTCTATAATACCAATATATGATCAGGTAAAGTTTCTACTACTAGCAGAAAATTATTTCAATAAAAACCTACAAGTTATCAGGCACCACGACAGAAATACATACAACGCTTCTAATGTTACCTTAAAGTTTCCATGTTTTAACAATCTTTACGGGAAACAACAACTAAAGTATCAAATACTAAAACTTATAAACGACCTACCCCTAACTCTCAAACAAAAAATTAATAAAATAAACATTAAAAATAAGTTAAAGAAGCATTTCTTAAATTTATTACAAAAATATCATTAATAGAATATCATATACATAATTATAGTTTAAATAACACACATGTGAATGTGTATATATAAATTGTATTATAGATTGTGTGTTATGTGTATGTGAATGTACGTGTGCATGGTATACACATGATATTATTGATAAAAATGTACTATTGAATCAAGTGTAAGAAATCCGCCGGAGTGTCTGCACAATTTAGCCATAATACAGGCACTCGCAATCTCTCGACGTGTCGATCGGCCAGGGCAAGTAGAATTGATTGCCATCATTGTATTTTACCCTACAATTAAATTAACAGTGTTTGCTGAGCTAATACCTTGGATTACTTCATAACTACAACTTAAGTTAAATGTAATGTTTATTTGTACTAGATGACGAGTGGCAGTGTACGGTAAAACCTAAACTGGTTTTTGGGACACTGTACAATTATTATACCTATGTAAATTTTGTTATGTTTAAATAAATAAAAATAAATTTGCTGTTGAACCAATTTCGAAAACTAATATAATTTAATTGTTTCTGATCCACATGTTTTGAGAACTGCATCCATATTGTCGCTTAACAGTCAACACTGCTCAAGATTTTTTCGGTTTTTACTTTTGAATGTTACCTTTGTCACATTTAAATGTCAATATCAGTATAAATAGTATAATTGTACATACATACGTACATATATATACTTCACGCCTTTTCCCCCATCAAGATAGGCAGAAACAACAGTCTTCCACTTGCTATGGTCCTGACACATCTTTCGCTTCAACACGCATGCATATAATTTTATATACATAAATTATATATGTCATTCATACATAGACCACCTGTCATAAACAATGTATACCTACAATAATATACGCAGTTATTTCAATCTCCTTTAAAATTACTCAAAATTACTTGAGCGGTGTCGTTCGCTAAGCGGCTTTTTTGTTACTTTTCTGGGCATCCAAAAGTAGATTAATTGAACATAAAGCTTCTATTACAATCTATACAATCTTGTTGTGAAGTGTTTCCAAAAATATCTTATAAATGCCTAATTTATTTCAATAATATTTCTGTAATTACAACAAACCACAAAAACCATTATACTGTGTGTCTTTATTCCATAAATAAAAATCTCAACAGTTAACAAATCTCTTTATTACTCATGATTTTATCTACTTTGTAATGTTGCTTACTTCATATTTTATTGGTATTTATGAATTTGTTCTTCATAGTAATTAAAGATACGCGTTCTTCCTTAAGCAATTTCCTAAACATTTACAGAGCCGTTGTTACGTTGATCTTAGTGATTACACCTTTTTTTAACAAGTTTATTTACATAATTAATTATTTAAGTATTAAGTGTAAGAAAAGTGCGAAAAAATGGACAGTATATTTGGAAATTTTTCAGAACCCAAATCCGTACAACACTAAAGAAGAAAGCATTTGAAGATGCAGGTATACCTGTGAGACAGGTAAGCAGCGCGGTAACAAGTCTGTCTCAGCCGCAGACCCCTCAGGTAGCATCACCACGGAGCGTGATCAGCCATCAGTCCGTGTTAGGAAAAAACGCCGAGGTTCAAACCTTCACTAACTAATAAAAAATGAATTTTTCTTATGTACAATTTTTAAGTTTTTGTGCTGTTTTTTGATTTGATTTTTGGTTAGTGAAGTTTGAATTTTTATAGTTTTTTTCTTTAATTTTGCTATTCACTCGGCCGCATGATTGGTACAGTTAGCGTCGACATGAAAGTTCAAACTAACCAAAAATATTCGAACTTTTAGTAAAAATATAAATATAAATAGTTTTAACTAGTTTTAGCAATTTCGACTTTTTGCATATATTTTAGTCGTTTAAAGAGCCAGTGTAAATATAAATTATATATTCTATATTTTGATTACTTTGAACGTTCAGATTATTTTGATGTTGACCATACTGTAGCTGAGCTTCTCATTCGAGGTGGGTCAGTGGGTGGCTGAACGAGTTAAGAGACTTCAAAGAAGGGGATTGGGATTATTTTGGGCTCTTTACTGCTTCTCAGAGGAATATTTCAATATTACTATTACAATAAAACCAAGTTTTTATTAGCGTAAAATACTAGTACCAAAATACTACAATTTGAGAAAATTTCAATTATCCTTATTATTACTGCAATGCTATAATTATATTCGAAATAGCAAAAAGAAGATAGGCTAATTACAACTACTGCTGTAAGAGATATGCAAACTCAAAAGTAATCCAACCAGATAACACCACTATATATTTATACTCCATTCATACGCTAGAAACGATAGACGACTTTACATTTGCTTTGTTTGCGTTATATGGGATCATGTAATGGCCAATCCAAATTACAAATTAGTACGACAGTAACTCGCATGTCGATCTGCACACTAGCTTGCACCGGGTAAACTAAGCATTAGTCACGCACGTATTATAATGCGCGGCGCAATGGCTAGAGAGCAACGAGTCTTTTGGTATTGTGTTTTCTTACGAGTTCCAAGAATGAGGAGGAGGTACTACGTGAGTTATTTAGACCGTCGTTGCTTTACAAACGCGAACAAAGTATAGGACGGTTCAGTGCGGTTCGTACCACACACGCGGTGTATTCTTTTTTTTTGTGATATCAAGTGACGGAACGGACAAGTCGTGGTAATGGTAAGCTACACGCCTGTCCATAACAGTTGCAGTGTCACTCAGAGCTTTACATCGCAAAGATCTTAGGGGCACTGCCACTCCGCCCGTCACCCTGAGACATAAGTTGACAATTCCCATGTGTCTGTAACGTCATCAGCACCACCCTTACTCTTCAAAACCGGAACACAGTAATGCTGACACTGCTGGGCGGCAGCAGAAATAGGTAAGGTGGCAGTACTTCCCTGGACGAACTCTTTCACAATGAGCTAGCTCTGCTGCTACTAAATCATTCATTTGAGATCCAACAGTAAACCTTTTATAACGCAGCCATATTATGATATTATACCTATGCAAACGGAGATAAGGTTGCAGACGAGTCACTATATTTTTTGCGAAATGTAGCGTAGGTATTGATTTAATTGACTGTTTTCTTAATGCCTGTTGCGGAACTCCACCTTCCAGGCCATACGCACTGTTTTGAAACCAAATCAGCCTTATTCAATCGCATTTGTATACGGATCTGGTGATATCACGAATCCCCGAAATATGGTGTTCAAAATAGTTTTGGTTACCGGTACAAACAGGTTTATCGACTGTGTGAATATTCTGAGGAACCAAATTTTTAATAACTATAAACATATTCACCTGTATGGCTGGGCGGGCTCGGAGCTTCGGGTACTTGGAACTAACACATACCATTTTATATCCACAGGTAACTCTCAATATGCTGAATGCCTCTGAAAACGAGGTAGACGTAGAAGGGCTCAGCAACGACGTAAAACTGGAATTTGAGGCCAACACAGAAGAGGTAGCTACATGAAATTCGTTTAGCTGCTCTTTCTAAGCAGTGGATTGGGTACCCTCCTCTTTATATGTTAGATTCGTTGTTAAATAACCTGCAATTATTTCATATAAAAAATTTGAAATGTTTAGTTTTTATTGTCTCAAGTTAATGTATAACTGATATTTTGAAACAAAACTGATTATTCTATTTAATTTGACACATTGGTGAGCATTAGTCCACACACAACGACAGTGTAAAACTTAACATAGATTATAATTTCAAATTATAAGTGTTATTTAAAATTAATGTACGTATAATCGAAATTATGCAGTACCTAGCCTAAAATAGCCTGCCCTTGTTTTAATTAAATTGCTTAATTCTGTGTCCATATATAATAATGAAAAAATATGACGGGGATTTTTTCGTCGAAGTGTTGTGGACTGATAATTTACTGTTTTATTGATTTTGTGTACAAAAAGAACTAAAAATTGTGACTCTTGGTTTCTGAAATAATTGCGATAGAACTTATTTTGAAATCCATAGTCAATAAGTCTTTAAAATTAAAAGTAAAATAACTTTATGATTTGTAAATATATTAACTCTGTCAGCAATTACTTTTCTGTAAAATTACACAATAGTTAGGGCTTTCAAATTTTCCGTAGCGTACTTGTAAGAGGGTACTAAATCTGTAAGAGACGGTTTAAATTAATGTAGTGTAAGTGAAAAGGACAATGTGACTAGTGTTTGTTGTTAATCTTAATGTAAGTTTAGTACATAGTAGTAGAAAGTCCAATAGAACATAATTTACAACCCTCGTGTTAAAATATTATTATAGTCAAAAATTAACTTTGTCAAATTGCATGCAGGTTACTTGCAAAATTACATTAATAATAATATTTTGGCAAATAAAGATATAACGGGCGGACTTTGCTCACCATCAAATTAACGTATACAGGGTGTTGATTTGCATTCTCACCATATTTAAGAAATTAATAATAGAAATAATGCTAAATCATCTAGAAATATTTAAAAAAATATTCTGTTCAATATTCTGGCTAATTGTATCTAGTAAAGTTTTGTAAAATTGTCCCCCAAGTGTACTCACCGCAGAGGACAGTGACCCCGCCACTCCCTTCACCGGGCGATACGTAATCTTTCTCGATCGCTTATTTACCTTCTTTTTAAATCATGTTTTTGTACTAGTATTGTATAATTTACTAATTATTTATATGAATTAGAAATGTTGACTGAAAAAAGAATTTTTGTAACTTAGATTTGGTACTTACCAACTTGAGGTTACATGAAAGTAGTGCTAAAAGTACCTAGCTCCACAGCTGGTGGCAGGCTCCGTACCGGAGCCAGCCACAGATTCCAGGGTTTCGTTTCAACTTAGCACATTCTTCACAACAGAAAAAAACCAGATACGATTTTTGCGCGCAATTCTTCGACATTCGTAATCTGCGTAAACTAAACGTTACACATCATGCCATAAGAACGCACTTGATGGTAAATGCACATGGTAGCGATTTTTTTTGCACTAACTTTGTTTACGTCACACACAAACCACGTTGCATTTCGTGAAAAACTAGAACGTATGCGCGATGTCAGCGGAACGCAGACGCAATACGCAAGATGGACTGACAATCTACCAATCACGCGCTCGATACGATACTCGCCCCCGTCTCTACTCTTACCTGGCCACCAAATAGATCAAAAATGCATATTTTCTGCGCATACTGCGCATGGGCCATTGTTAAAATGATTGCCGGTACCTGGGGCACGTGTAGCGCAAGGCCCTTGGATCAAACTTCAATAAGAATTTAGGAATTTCTTTCTTATTTATTTTTTTAGTGATTTGGGTTCAGTTTCGAATTGGAATGACCTCTGTAAATATGGCGAGAATGCAAATCAATACGTTGTATTTCAGTCGCAATTTGTACATTTTTCTTTTACATTATATAGTTTCAGAATGACTGAAAAATTGTTAATTTCTAGAAAAAAACATGAATGCTAATTTTAAAAAGTGATGTAACCCACTTATTTATCTGCATACCTCATACAGAACATAAAATCTCCCGTTGATAATGGAACTGGACGTCGACTATTCGGAAGAAAAATAACGGATAGTTTGCATAAGTTTATACTATTTTGTATGAGGCCGTGCAAAAATCGACCAATCCAGAAACAATTGGGTCTTTTTCAGGTTAGTGTTCTCTACCTGATTGCGGTGATATGATATAAGTTATATTATCATGAACTTACACTCAATGTTAATGAATACTTAAATACTAAAAATTGCCACCGAAATTAGGTACAGAACACTAACCTGAAAATTACCCAATTACCAAACGTTTTAAATAAAGGGATAACCCATGCGTTTTTGTTTTGCGATTTTTGTTGTCATGTGCGTGTGCAATACACGCACATTCGGGCAAAAATGTCACTGTAATTCGCAAATAGCGAGATTGTAATCATAGTGTGCGTTCATTCAAAAATAGAGCTGTTAAACTCGTTGTCTACCAAAACAGAGTGGAGAGGAGTTGTGCCTAAACAACCAAAAGGAATGAATTACAAAAAATTGACAATACTAAAATAAAATAAAATTAATAATAAAATTAACATGCCAAATGTTTCTGTGACTCGGTTACGGAGGACTATTAATACTTTAGCCTCGCTGATATCCTGACAGCTACTTGACTACATTCCAGTTGCTGAAAAACCCGTCTTTTCCGCTCCACTTGAAGGCCTATTCTACTGATAATAGGCCTTCATTTGTTGATAGGTCAATGGCCTTCATGTTGAATTTTGATATGAATGCTCATTTGTTGGTGGAATAAATTCGTATTTTAAATTTCGCAACATGTTGATCGCCTAAGTGTGAGAGACGTTTTTTAATTGTGCTTATTTCTTAATAACTAAAATGGCCAGATGCCACCTGAACTTTTTCTCAAAGCAATAAAATCTTGTACTATAATAAATTCATAAAATTGTACATTAGTTTAATTGTACATGAATTTAGAAGCTAATAATAACTAAGAAATTTGTTAACGGTTACGAATACAATTGTTATTATATTCTAGGTAAAATTAGTTAATGATTAAATAATACATTGCTAATTGTTTGGTATTATTTTAATGGTGCTCCTGTGGACTTATAAATGGCCTTTGCGTAGTGTTGTTGAATGTGAATAGTATTTTTCCGATTTTGCAGAAAAATGTCCATTACTATTTGAAATTTGTTGGAAAGTTACACAACAATATTTAATATTTATGACAAGAAGGGCAGACTAGTAAAACACGTGTGTTGACCAAATTGAGATCTGCCGTGAAGCGAAGGCAACAATTGGGTAAAGGAGGAATCTATAGTAACTAAAGCTTAGATGTTACGTGTACGTGCAATATTCCAGCTAGACATAAAATTTTAATATTAGGATGGTCCACCTTTTAAAGTTACAAGCGTATTTTACCGCCCACACTGGGATAACATTATTCTGCTGGCTCCATTCTTCAACCTCAACGAAAGTCTGTTACTATAATTCTAAGTCTTAATCCTTGCCACAAACTGGATCGAGAAAGGTGGAAAAATTTAAAAAAAATTCCTTTTTTTTAATGACTACCAATTTTTCAGAATTTGTGAATGCCAGCCGAAATCCCCTCAATCAATCCTGCAATAATGTTGATAGTCTTATTATTCTTTCTACATTAGTTTTGATTATAGTGACCCTCCCCACCGACCTTTAGGGTATACGCGAAGAGCATTATGACCTGCGCGAGCATGGTCCTATCCCCTGATCAGCCCGATTGCACTGACCTCATCCAGTTCTCTGTAAGGCCAGCGCCTTGGTGCCTCTGGTGCGGAGCTGTAAAGCATGCTCACTTCGCGACGCCGAAAAACGGCGTCTCTCCAGTTTCCAAACTCCTACGCGGCTGGAGGGACTGGATGTGGTCTATCTAGCTCTGGCTAGTGTCGGAGAAGCCGGTAGCAGTGTCCTGTGACAATGTCCGTACATAGCTAACAACTTAAAGGGCAACACACGTGTCCCGCGCATGTCTTCACCAGTAGGCCCTCGTCTAGACCGCCACCGGAGCAGACGAACGTATTCATCCCTGCAGCTAACCACAAACCCCGGCGAGTCCTTTTCGTGTAGCTATCAAATATTTTCACCCATACATATAATTTTCATCGTATGCATTGACTTACCCACAAATAGACATCGGGTCTAATACAAAAACCACGAAAAAATATCCGAGGTTAACCTATACAAACGTAGTGACATGTTACGAAATATAAAAAACTAAAACATTTAATTTAAATTGTAACGTCATTGCAGTACTGCCTAAATTTGCTTACAACAATTTAAGGGCCCAAAACATTGACCTACTGTTGGTAGTTTTATGGCCCAAAAACACCATATTCAGCTTCTACTGGAAACTTAATAAAATGCACCATATTTAGCTTCGACTGAAAATTACTTGAACACAAGAGTAATGGAATAGCCTTTCTCGGAAACATTAATTAATTTTTTTACATATTATTATGTCGAATTTTGTACAAATTCACTTAAAGGTACTTATATTAAAGAGTTGCGCAGATACATACATACAAATATTAATTCATATGTGAAAAGAAGTGTGTACTATAAGAAATGTACTGATATTCTAACTAAACGTAAACTCAAATATCTAAATATTAGATAGTAAACTTCAATGGTTTCCACATATATCTTCCCTGGCCAGCAGATTAAGCTCCACTGCATACGCAGTCCGCAGAATACGTGAGCTTACCGATGTTAGTACTGCTAGACTAGTTTACTTTAGTTACTTCCATAGTATAATGTCCTACGGGATTTTCATGTGGGGTAAAGCGGCAGATATTCAAACCATATTTGTATTGCAAAAACGAGCGATTCGTTCTGTGTACCGTCTAGGCTTAGAATAATAACGCATAGAATGATAGTTTCATATCAAACGAACTGTCACAAGTGAGGCAAAAATCAAATTCATGTAGTGAATCTGGTTTTTATATTCAAATTCATGTAGGGTATTCGTGTAGTACGTTAATTTTCGGTTTTAGTGAATATTTATACAAAAATACAAGTTGAAACGCGTCACTTCCTTGTGGAATGTGATGCTAGTATCTATTTTATGTTTGTCTGACGTATTTTTACACTCATTTACCGCACATTTCGTCATTTTTAGCTAAAATTCTGGAGCTGTTCGCGGTGCAAGTTGACCTTGAGCACTGAAGGCCCGCCCGCTCGTGTAGGCCCATTGGGAGCGCATTTTACTATACATCGTAAATAACTAGATTTCCTTGGTTCATTTTACCGTCCAATCCGCGCTGAATATGAACAGAACTCACCAAGACATTGTGATTTAGATGAGACAGTTTACCACAATATTGTTATAACAATATTGGTTTTATATTCAAAAACTTATGTGGGGACGTCATCAACAGATTTAATGCTAAATTTTGAGATTTTTATGTATTTTGCATTTTTTTTAATAATTTTTATATATTAAAATTACATACAAATACTTAAGACATTTGTCATTTTATATTTATTTTATTTTTCCTTAATGGCAGCCATAAGGCATGGCCAGTGTCAGTTTTGTAAAAATAATATAAAAAATATGCGAATTCTCGCCACATCGACATACCTAGTTCCCATTTGCATATTTGCTGTAATCTTAATTTTTTTATTAAAGTTAAAGTACATAGTTTTTAATGCGAATGATATTACCTACATAGAAGTAATCACGGCTATGATTAAGATAAAATTAAAGTTGTTTAAAAAAGACGCGATAAGTGTCTCAACTATTTATCATCAATAAAATCAATTACATAGTATTTCCGTTCTTTCTGTACGTTCGGTTCAA